AGGCAATATAATCCAGCGACACTATATCCAATTCGCATCGTGCCAAGTGGTCCGTTAACCCTCCGTCGTCTGTGCGAGTGGTCCTGGCCTCTCTGCCCCCGGTCCAACAGGTCTTAGGGGGGTATCTTCGATATGGACGGCGTAGATTAATTGGCTTCGGCCCATCACTCCGACTTTAGCTGGTGAATCGGGGCGAGCCGCCTTGCCACCTGTAGATGAACCTGGTCCGGCCCCTTAGATGGACTGGGGAGGGAAAAAAATGAAAAGGTAGATCGGGAAGGTCGGAAATTTTTTTTGGGGTTATTTTCTTGTTTGACTCCTTTCTTTCGGTGAACAGGACTGCATCTGAGTTAGTAACGCCGTCGTGATTGACGGGTAGACGGAAGAGCTGGCCTGTGGTTCCGACATACAGCGTGCAAGGTAGTATTCCTGGTCGGTGTTGGTTTGGTATATCCAGGTGCTCCGATACTCCTTCCACTAAGATGCTGTATACTGTCCTTACCGGCGATGGATTAGGACCTAGGAGAGCATGGATGCCTTGTCTGCAGATGGGGTACCTCGGGCAATTGCATCTATCATATGTCACTGCAAACCATGTATGAATTATATGCAACAATATTATTTTGAGAAAGAAAACAACACGAAGCCTTTTCAAGATAGAGCTGTCAGCTAACAGCTAACAGCTAGCCTACTGCTCCTAGGTAAATTAAAATAGTTAATAGTGGACAGTATTATTATAGTATATTCTCGGCTACCCTACCCTCGACTCCGTAGACAGAATAATAATACCACCCGGCACCGTAAATGCCGAGGACTAATTTGTCATGTTCCTTGTTCCCTAGGCTATACGGGTAGGAATATATCCCTGCTGGCAAACTGATTTTGAGATTTGAAGCGCGAGTCAGTTGTTAGTAGCGTCTTGGTCTTGGTCTTCGTCTTCGTCTTATGGGTGTATATTTCGTTAACCAATCTTGGTCACCAGTAGCATTTAATAGGGATGCAACAGTGATTTGACCTGGCTTTGAGCCATGGTAAGTCGTAGTATACATATCATCCAGCTTAGATGACCAGTTGCTGCTATATCTACGGGGGATCTGCATCTCTAAGAAAAAGGTCTCCAAATAAGATATTCACGTAGTATAGTAGATCAAGAGCACGGTTCACGTGTTCATCTCATCGTTCTATAATCAAAACTGATCTGCGTACTCCTATCACCTTGACGCTGCAAATTCCCAAAGTAGAGAGCATACAAATCTAGTATGTGCCTACCTTGATCGTCTGCTTCAGAAAACGAGCAATTGCGACGAATTAGATTCAACCAGGGTAGTTAAGAACAGATTGATATCGCAAGAATATATACCCAACTATCTACTAACACCCCCAAAATTACTTCACACAATATCCAAAAGATATATCTCATGGCATAAAAAGAACACCACAACCAACAATCCCGATCCATGAGCACAATTAATCAAGAGCAAGACCCCCAAGCCAAAGACAAACCTAACTACCTAACTAGGTATCTCCCCTCACCACCGCTTTATATCCTCATAGATAGCTATCATACTGTACTCATCGATGTCAACGATAATTCATAGTATATGTTGATGTTAGACCATTCAGCAGAGCTAGATCTCATCTCATCTCCTCTAATCTCGTCGATTGATCGAATAGATTGAATAGTAACGATAAGCGTGATCTATTCTGGTACATGGGATAGCTCTGGGGATGGAGCGCTCTCTCTCTCTCACTCTCACTCTTACTCTAAGTTTCACTTTCGCAGCGAGACCAGACAAGACCAGTCTCCCACTCTCAAAGCGAGCAAAGCGATGCAAAGTAAATGAAAGTCCAATATCCCTAAAGAACTGCATATATTTGAAAAATCAATATCAAGAATCTACGGCGAATTAATTAGTCATTGTATAGTTAATAGTCGATGGTTTATAGTATATAGCCCAGAATATACAAGCGATATCGATACTATATAGTCGGCCAACTCTTACTTCAACTACCAGGCACAAGAAAGGGATGAAGAGATTGATCAAAACAATGTATACAATCAACAAGGTTGGCCATGTTTGTGGAATTCTCGTAGTCTATCTAGGGTTGCTAATAACAATGTAAGTAGTAACTAGACTGGATGAGGGTGAATGGGTCATGAGAATCTCGATTTGGATAACTCATATGTAAGGAATGGGATGGATAATTGGATCGAATAAAGAGGGGAGATGAGATCATGTGGATGTTCAATATTGCTATGTAGATTATCGAAGGGGATTGATGGTCTTAAGAATGCAGACGAATGGACACGGTTGAAATGTACGGCGAGGTGTTGGAAGGGTCGTCAGTAGATGAGATCAGGTGAATGTGTTACATTGAACTGGGCCAGAGGGCTTGATGAATCAAACGGTAGAGGGCAAGAAGTAAATCCATGCCGAAAGAAAAACGAGAGATTACGGAGAATCTACAACAAAAGAATAGAAGACTACAACCAAACCATATTACAGAATGTCGTTAATTAATAACATGCGGGGTATTGCGCAAATCCTTCATTCATTTGCTTGTTTTAGCTACCTTTTGAAAAATGAAAACTCATATCAAACACAGATCCTCATCACGTCAAGCGTCAGCCCTAACTTACTCCTCGCGGAGAACGTTAAGGAAACCCTTGGAGGCGTGCTCGGGCTTGCCAGTGGACTCAACGGACTTCTGGCCGAGCTTCTCCTTCGAGAAAGCAGCAGCGTAGGGGTTGAGACGGAGCATGACCTGCTTGTTGCGGAGAGGGTTCTTCTTCTGGACGTGGGCACGCTTGGTGCGGGCCTCACCCTTGGGAGCACGCAGAACGGACTGGATTTCAGAAGAGTTGATCAGGCGGGTCAGATCAGCGTTGGAGACAACGTTCTGGGGCAGGAGGTAGTCCTTCTTGAGGGCGGCAGGGGTGGAGGTGGTGCCGTAGACCTGGTCCAGGGACTGGAAGGCGGAGGAGGTCCAGACGATGAAGCGACCAAGGTGACCGCCGGGGGCGAGCTGGAGGAGGTTCAGGTTGAAGACGGAAGAGGTCTCAACACCGGGGATGTTGCGGAAAGCACGGACGAGCTCCTTGCCGTCAACCTCGGGGTTGTAGACAACGAGAGGACCGCGGCGCTGGCGGTGGCGGCGGTTACGGAGCTTACCCTTACCGGCGCGGACCTTCTTGGACTTCTGGACCTTGACGAGCTCGGAGCCAGCACCAAGAGCCTGCAGGAGGGAGATAGCGGCCTTGGTCTTGGCGATGGCAGCACCCTCGAAGGTCTTGGAGTCAACAACCAGAGGAACCTCGGGGATGTTGGCAACGCGGTGACCGCGAGCGAAGAGAAGGGCAGGGACGGAGGAAGCAGCCAGAGCGGAGGCGGTAGCGAAACGTCTGTTTCATGGGTTAGTCCTGGGGTCCCAATTTCTCCAACTCAAATCTCATCGCGGAGTTTCATCATACCTCTGTCCAACGTTGACCTTCTGGTGCCACTTGCGCCAGACCTTGGTAGGAGCGAACATACGACCGGAACGGCACTGGTTACCGAAAGCAGCCTGACCAGCACGGTGAGTACCACCACCAGAGACACGGGGGATACGAGCGACAGCGCGACCTGAGGATACAATTAGAGCCCAATTCCTTGCTTGGCGGAGAGAAAATTCTTCATATCCACATACCGGTACCCCAGGACTCAGCGGAGGTCTGTTCACCAGCCTTCTCGCTCACGGCATAAGGCTGTCTCTTGTTCTTCGCCATACCGGTGTGAACCTGCCTATAAGGATAGAAAAAAACCCGGTCAGTCATTCTGTCGCCCATTTCTGCCATCAATTGTGTCCCTTCTGTCCCTTCCGACAAATCCCCTTCACCCTCCAAAAATCCAAGAAAACTCATCGAAACACATACTGGACGATATCAGGACGGATGGGCGAGGTGAAAACAGCAGGCAGGGGGTAGGTGGCCCCGCTGGCCTTGCCATCAGCCGTGGCGATAGTGACGGTAGGACGAGACGCCATTGTTGTCGACGGTGAGGTGGTCGTTGTCGTCGTTCGAGGTTGAAGATCGAGTATGTCTCTCGACGGGCTGTGGAAATTTTCGCTTAGTCGCCCGCGAGGTGGTGGGCCCGGTTTGCGGGAACCCTAAGCCCTCGTTCCCTGTTTGGGTAGGCTTCGCTGGCAGGGTCTTGGCGGTGACACCTCAGGCAGTAAGGCAAACATGACAGTCTAGGCGGTATGGACGACAACACTTTCTGCCGACGCTTTCTCTTGTCATCGTCGACAATCTACCTTCTACTCTATACAGACATTTTTCATTAACCTCTCATCTTTTTGTAGTCAATCTATCTACTTCTTTGTGGCAATACAATCGGTTCTATTTCAATTCTGACCCAGTTCTCAATTAGTAGGTCACGTCATAGATGACAGGTCACGTTTACTGCCACCATGAAGCCATTGAACTCATTCAACGTCACAACCAGGAAGATCTGACAGGTCATGATCAGCAGAACAGATGAAACGTCGCATCTAAAAAAAGTATTATTAGGAGCACTAGATCTACGAGATCCTCAAAACAGAAGATGAGTTTAGAAATACGAACGATTCATCTACAGATAATAAAGTATTACTAGAAAGGTAGAGATTTACGAGGCCCTCCAAAATGAAGGCCTTGAATCTACCAGGAAATTTACCAGGAAAATAGATGAGATGAAAAACAAATCAGATAATCTATTGAAAAAAAAGGTATATGAAAATTCGGAATGATCTTTACAAAAAGGTAAGTCACTTCTTTCCTCTCATCTTTAAAAGTACATCTAGAGAAAAGAATAACCATCACACCAAATCGGGTCCCATCCTCACAAGTAGGTCAACAAAAACCACCCATGAAAGAAACAAGGGAAACGAAGAAAGAAGCAAATGGAAAGAAAGAAGAAAGATGAAGCGCGCGAAACGAGTGATCCTCTCACCCGCTCAGCGGGATATCAAGAAGAGTTCATTTACGCGTGGTGGTGAGCACCGTGAGCACGCTTGCGGTGGCGCATCTCAGAGAGCATGCGGGGCTTGAGAGCGGCGACGGAAAGCTCAGCGGCCTGGCCAGGAGTGCAGGTAGTGCCGCCAGCCATGGGCTGAGAAGGAGTCCACTGGCCGTTGGCGCAGCGCTGGAAGCTGCTGCCGTCAATGCAGTTCCACTGGCCCTCGGAGGTGCAGGCACCGGACTGAGCGCCGGAGGCACCGGTGTTGTCACCGCCAGCGGGCTGGGTAGGAGCGGGGGCAGCGGGCTGAGTAGTGGGAACGAAGACACCACCGTCGGCGCCACCGGAAGGCTGAGCGGCGGGCTGGGTGGTGGGAGCGGGAGCGGGAGCAGCGGAGCTCTCGCTGCCGCCCTCGCTGCCGCCCTCAGAGCCGCCCTCAGAGCCACCGGAGGAGTTGCCGGGGGTGTTGCCAGCAGCGCCGAAAGAAGGAGTACCGGTGCAGGCCTCGCTGCCCTCTTCGGCGAGGTTGCCCTTGTCACCAGCATACTCAACCTCGGAACCGGGGTTGGGGAAACGAATGTCCTTGCCCTCGGCGGTGGTGCAGCCGTTAACGTTGGCAACGAACATGTCGGGGAAGCTGGAGTCGCGCTTGACGGGCGAGCGCTTGGCGGAGGAGCCGCCCTTGACGGTGACGGGAGCGCAGTTCATGTACATCTCGCGGTTTCCGATACGGTTGAACCAGGTCCAGGCAAGGGTGTACTTGCCGGGCTCGATGCCATCGGGCACGGTGTACTGGAATTTAGCGGAACCGGAGCCGTCGGGGTTCTCGGGAAGGTTGCCTTCGACGTTGGCGGGGCATCCACCCTCAATGGACTTGATGACCATCCACTTGGAGTCCTTGGTGGGCTCGAGGTCCTTGGTGAGAGAGACCTGGCAAGAACCACCACCGTGGGTGGCACTGCCCTGGAAGGTCAGAGGGTTGGCCTCGCCGATGTTGAGGATGTTCTCCTCAGCGGGGGCGTCATAGACACCGGACCGCTGCTTGCAGGGGAAATCGCTGCCATCAGCCTCCAGAGGGGAGTTGTTGAGGGAGTCTTTGCCGTAGGGGGTAGGCGAGCTCATGAGCATGTGAGCGTTGACGGCGGAGGCGCCCAGAATGGCGGCAACAACGGTCTTGGAGAACATTTTGTCGAAGGTTGACTGTTTAAACTTGAAATCGTTCTAGATTTGATTGCGAGTTTGGCGAAATTCTGATCGTACCAGACGAACTCAGAACTTGGAAGACGGTTGAAAAGCTGAGAAAGAAGCCTTTGTCAGGAGTCAGCAGAATGCTCGTTTGAAGGATATTCGAGTGGTGTTGATGATGCAAGATGCGATGAGAAGGAAAAGCCAAGAATGTTGGGCATATTTATAGATTGTCGCCGACAGATCCCCGGCTCTCCACAATGGGAATCGAGCGCGAGATGCCGGCAATCGACAATCCATGAAAGAACACCGAACAAAGAAACCCCGGATTTTCCATGCATTCACCAACAAAAGGAAGCGGAGACAATACCTTTGTAGTAGAAGAAGAATCAGGAACGAGCCGTGATTCTGAACTGACAAGAGCGGATAGTCTCAGAGAAGGAATGACGTAGTCTGCCACGGGCGAAACCACAAAAAAACAGTATTCACAAATGAAGGAATGTAGAACGAAACAGGAAACCAGGCCTGTTTGACAGTCGAAACCGTTGCGAGAGTAAAGGATTGAAGCGCGCTGCGTGATTGGGATGGAGAGAAGAAAAAAAGGGAGTAGACCAGCCGACGGCGAGGGGTATTATATAGGTTGAAGGCAGTCAGCCGGACAGTATATCAGATCCCAAGCGATTGACTGCCGACGAAGGGGAAAAGGGAGGGTAGGGTGGGGGTGGGAAAAAAAAATAAAAAAAAATAAAAAATTCACCGAAAACACAAAATCAAAAAAAAGAAAGCAGTGAATCAGTCAATCATCAGGCCGGACGGGGACCCTGGCAAGTGGGCGAGAAGCGTGAAAGCTGACGGATGGGGGCTCAATTGGATGCATTTGAGGGAAGATGAAACAGCCCCATCGGCGGGTGGAGACTCGAGAATTTGGGAAGGGCGGACGAGGATTGGATTGCGGCGAGAGACGCTGAAGAGAGTTTACTCCGTCAGGTCCAACGGTGGTGAAGGAGCCTAGGAGGGCGCTTGAGTGGCTGAAGGGCGGCAGTGAAGATCACCAGTAGGATGCACCGAGGAGACTGCGGGTACCTGACCAGGGGGGCGCCACAGGGATTGATTCCATGTCGTATTGCACAGCCAGTTCTTACTTCTAACCAACCGGACCCTATGTAGTTCCCCATACTTCATAGGTACCAGGTAATTCGACCGACCGCAGCAGTTTCACCACTGCAGACATGGTCGACTCTTGAGGGTCCAAAGGACGCGAAAAGAAAAGAAAACAGAAAAAGCAGACGAAAAAGGAGAGACAGACCCAAAAGCAAGGTCAGGACCCCAGCCATCGACCGGGCCAGCAAAGCAGATCCGAAAGTCAAGGTTGCGTTCAACTGCGTCACACCATCCGAGGGAGATGCCTGATTGGGCCCGGCTGCGGGCAATTGGCGCCGGGCGGGCTCCTCTGGCGGATCTATCACCAATCATGACGCGGGAACTGTAGACGGCGGTATTTTTGGTATACATCCATTACCGTATGGTCAACTGTCTCTGACTCTGTAGACATGGCTCTGTCCGCCGTAGAGTTACATCGCCTTGCCATCCTCCCTGTCTCCCGCAGAGTCCTCCCGAGCATCATATCATCCGCAATTAAAGAGTTACCTAAAAGTTACTCCCTTGGGGAAATGCTCAATTCTATTCATCATGGCCGGCCGGTGACTCCTACCTTCCCGCCGGACTGACCGCAAGAATGGAGACTCGTCGCTGCGATCATCCTCATTGGCACCCACTTGTGAAGTGGTGGCCGTCTGTCCTGGCCGCCATGTCCCACTTCCCTGCGATGAATGGGTCTGGCTATCCGCCGGGCGTATACCGTTCTGTGTTCCTTGTACAGGTGTCATGCCCTCGCCCGCTAGAGTAAATCGGCGAACCCGCGAACTGGGAAAAGATCCTTCCTCTGCATCGTCATCCTCCTGCGACAGGACCCCCAAAGCTTAGATGAGAATTATGGAATCAAAAAGAAAAACGAAAGAAACAGAGACAGAAAAACACCGCATCGAGTAATAATCATCCAGGCTTTTCACACCGGAGCTGACCGCTCGGCCCGTGGGGCGAATTCCATAAACCCTAACTTGGCCCTCCGCCCACACGAAGCAGAGGGAAGGTCCCGAACACTGACAGCCATCGCTTGATGAAACCATGTAATCTCGCTTCCCCTACGGTACGGGAGTTCCCTCTATCTATCAGGAACGCTTCCGAACCTGCCATCGACTCGGATCAATCCAATTTCTAGACGAGATTGCAGAGTTACAGCGAGGTCGGCAACACTCAAGGTCGGGAATTGCCATCAGGTAATCGAAAAAGGTCGTTGACTCGTACTCCGGTCTATAGAGTTGACGATGGATCCCGTTTATGCACGATTACTCAATTATGGATTCCCTGATCCCTCTCAGCTTTGGCCCGGCATGGGCTGTGTTGGTCCGATGGGTAGTCGTAAAATTCTCCGGGTTGAAATGGCCACCGCTTTAGCAGTTTAGCGCTGGGGGGACCGGTGGCGCGGCGAACGGCGAGGCCAAAAACGCTCTTGACTGGGCACTTGGGCCCTCCCTAGTCTCTGCAGGTACGTCGCCGGTGCAAGACATCTTGCGTTTACAGGGCTAAAATGCCTTGATGCTCTTAAAATATCATTCGCCCCAAACCTCCCCCTCCTTCCGGGCGGATAATAATAGCTATCAATATACGATCGAGGGGTCCGTCCGATGTGAGGTTGGGATGCAAGGGCTCGTCGACCTATGACATTTCATGTTTGGGTGAATTTCGACGACTTGGCCAACACAAGGATTCCCCAAGCGGACGATCTCTCTTCGGACCTTCAGCCAGATATCAAGAAATCACAAAAATACCGCCTAGCCATGGTTCCGATCTCCGCATCTGACCCATCGACCGACAAGTTCGGATCATTCCATCATCAGGTCCTGGTGGAGTCTTCCAACCGAATCAGCAATCTTCAAGGCGGACAAGGACAAAAAAGTTCGGATCATCAATCTCATCCACATTACATCAATCAGGGTGTTCCGAGTAAACTGATCGCGAGTCCCCTGCGTTATCCACTTGCCATATCGCTTAAAGATGGAACAAGTACGGAGTAGAGCTAGAACGTTAGAAGGAGGGGAAAGGGATCACAGAACCGGATGGAACAGGGAACCGTCACCGACTTGAGATCTCCGGATGGATTTGGTGTTTCAGATAAATTCTACTTTGCCCCGCGGTGCTCGATGATTTGCCGAGTGCCACCAGACGGGGGGGGGGGGGCAATGGACGGGCAGAATTACATTGCTTTCTGCCTCTCCGACTTGTTTCCGGTTTTCCCTGAACTCTCGATGATCTAGAATACACTGTGAGTGGGAGTGGGAGGCCTTTTCCGTGATCTGCGCTCTATCTACATCAGGTACTTCCTCCGTGCGGTGGAGGAGTTGCCAATCGGCCCATGTCCCCGGTACCTTTGAGTTTTCATCTCGCACTTTGGATTTCGGCAGAGTTTGGGACCTTACAGAGGCTTGGTATCATTAACAATCAACCACCCTATCCCAGCTGTCCGACCGTCACCTACTTCTGCATCCGGTAAATCCCCCTCAGACTCTACTCCATACACCGTGCGGATAGGTAACTGGCATATGCCAGGCCGTCCGACAAATCCAAGAAAGAAAAAGTAAACAGCATCCCTGCCCCTAGTCCTTCCCGTATCCCCACTAGAACAGACCACCCTTGTTAAAAGACAAAGAAAACCAGTCAACGTGGGCATTTATCTCCGGGGCCACGAACCAACGGGCTTGGCTCTTCTAGCCGCTCGGCGTCGCATGGGGCCTTTTCGGCTCACCAACTACAGTCTTCTGTCTACGGAATACACCACATGGATCGTCATGGACCTGCCAACGCCACGAAATGCAGATTGCGGAATGCACCAAGGCCAAGGCCAGAACCAGGGCCCAGGATCATCATCCCCCCGCCCGAGGCGAACGAGTTAGAAAATAGACAGCCCGGCGGCTAACGGGAGCGTCAGGCACAGACAGCGAGAGTCGTTACACGGCTGCACCCCGAGGGACAAGCTCTGAGTGGTTGTCCTACATATCCTAGATCAGGTAAATGATAGACAAGAAGCGGGGAAACCTTACGGTGTATGGATTATGGATGACTATCACATCGATCAACTCGTCATTCATCACACGATGGAGCGGCTCGACGGGGCCGGAGATGCGAACCAAGCTTCTGTCTTGCCGCCTTCCCATCTATCCGATTTTTCTTCCGATGTGTACACAGTAGTTTGTTTTTCGCACATACTAGCTACTCCATAAGCTACTACTACTATGTCTAAGAAGTGAGAAAAACATACGAGTTCCTTCGCACAGCCTCCTACAAGTTCCGGGGCCGAAACAACGTCAGCTTACCTTTTAACAGTCTACCTAACTAGTAACTACAATGCTGTCACTGTCAGTTCCTACGGACAGAACGGACCCCGTACTACGTATATCTAGCTCGTTCTTAGTGTTTGCCTTGGACCCAGCACTAGGACTTAGTCGACTAGGCGGTGGTCGATATTCGATGCACTAGAGAGGATCTAGATAGGGCTAGATGGTGCCAGATACTACCTAACAATATCCGTACTTGGGTCCTGATTCCTGCACTACCTACAGTATCTTACTGCACTAGTACCCAACAGAGTCTAGCTGATGTTTGATACTTGACACGCCTCCAGTACGGAGTAGATCTGAAACGAAGGGTTTTGACAGTCTCGTCTCGTCTCGTCCAGTCTCCACGTTAGGTGATCCTTCGGCCCTATGATCCTATCGTTGCCTTTTTTTTTTTTTTTTTTTTTTTTTTTTTTTTTTGCATGTGAAGGCATCCTAACACAAACAAGGTAAATGGCTTCACAACTTGCAGAGTCTTCTAACTTGCCTGCCTAGAACTACCCCGTACTACCTAGCACAGTCTATACTCAGGAGTAGTAAGGTAGGTAGGTAAGTAGGCAGCCTCCGTACTACTCTGTACCTGGCAGTTACCCGCCGCAGTCTACACAGTACCCACGGAGTAGTAGCATGTACACAGCTGTGTAAGACCTGACAATGGAGACGGGATACCCCATCCTGCCTCCTAGGTACTCCGTATGCATGTACCTTACCTTATCCTACCGTGGTAATCCACTAGATGTTGGTTTTACAATAGTTTCTACCTTCTAGCTGTCTATCCTTCCGGGGTACGCCTGGTTGGGTACGCTAAGATGGTGCCTGTCTAGGGTACCTGATAATCATCCCCTATTTTGGTTCTTTTGGGCTCTTGGGTGTTGACGGGCGGATGTCAGCATTTTCCTGTTTGCTTACTTCCGATGGGGCGTGCATTGAGCTGCTACCTTAGCTTCCAGGAACGGATTACTGCGGAAAAGAGCTTCTAGATGATTCTGCTAACTAGAGATCAGAGATTGAAGATTAGAGGGAGATTGTACCTCGTATTATTTATTAAGACCCAGTTGGTCAATGAGTATAACACTGTAGTTAGAAATTAAGTAGTGGAGAACTGGAGAACTCTATACTACATCGTACGTAACTTTTACTTTCATTAATATTAAGCAGGTACTTAATGTCCTAAGCCAAGGTACGGCGCCCTATGGCGCTCCATATCCATGGATGTCGATGCTACTCTGTACTACCCACTCTCTGTTTCTGTTGACCTGTTGACTTGTTGACTCCCTGCCCTGACCGTACGACATATCCGGAAAAAGCCAAGAGATGCATCAATCAGTTTTGTAGATCTTAATTCAGGACCGTCGGTCGATGTCACCTACAGTGACTCTGATACTGATGCTACGGTTTGGCATCGAGTTCTAGATGAGCCCTTTCTTGTCTCTCTATTCTATTCTCTATTCTACGGAGTACAACACCTATACTAGCCGGACACTTCTATTGGCCTGCCTAGTTAGTTATTAACCAATACCCTATCCTCAATGGTTACTAGGCAGATAATTCACTGCCTCTCGGCGACCCCCGGTCATCGACCCCTTTTTCAGAAATTTCAGCGTGTAAAGATGAGTTACCGTCGGGTTGTTGTTGGGGGCCGGTCGCTCTAACTCGCAGTGTAGCATTTCGCCAAGTCATTTCATGCTGGGTCCATCTTTAGCTGCCTTGCGAGTTACCATTTTGTTGATTTGAGGTTCGTTGAACCGGGCACTCCGGAGGATTGGTTCTTGCATAGCCCATAGGGCCAGAGGGGCGAAAGCGAAAGGGGAGGGTCTTGGTCTTCGTGGTCTGGTCTGGTCTGGTCTGGTCCGCTCTGTTCTGTGCAACTGGTATGACAGACCAAGCAAGGCAGAGCGAGGCAGAACAGAACAGAACAGAAGCAAATCCCGGATATCCACGTTCGAAGGGGGGGGGGGGGGAAAGCAATATCCAAAAAATCTGTCAAATCATTTTTTCCCTTTCTTCTTGCCCTTGTCACCACTCCCTCCTCCACCGCTCTCCTTAGCAAACCCTCCTTTGATCAAAGCATCTCGGCCGACGGCATTGATGATCCGGAATCGATCCGGCCCCAGGTGGATTCCACCGTACCATCGCGTAACCACCACCACCACATCCCACACGTCCATCAACTGCATGAGATGAAGCAGACGGCCCCCAGCCGCCGTCTCGCCATCATCGTCGAAGTCCTGCACGGTATTCTCTGTAGATTCGCCTTTGCCTCCTCCTGCGCCGACGGGTTTCTGCTCCCGAATGCGCCACGCACTGATGTTGTGTGTTGCGGCTGCAACTTTCTTCTCCGTCGCGAGCAAGTAGTCCAGGTATGCTTGAGCCTGCTCAAGCGTCGACACCCGGGCCACTCGACCGACAAACACCGATTTCTTCTCCGTCACCACGTCCGACAGAATCCAGTCGGGGGGACTATCGATCCCAAAACTATCGCGGAGCGACAGCGTCGCGATCTCCTCTGGCTTCAGGTCCGACGGTGACGTTTCGTCGGATTCTGCTGTTGTCCCGGTTCCCTTGTCCCCATCTTTAGTAGTGTTGTGGTTGTTGCTCCCCCCAATATTCAACTCTTGAAAAGCCTCTACCGCTTCATTAATCACATCAAACAGACAGACCACACCAGGCTGGTAGCTTCGTCCAACAATATCCTCCAGCACATCGACGGCTAATTTCCCCTCTCCGCGCGACGCCGTCGACGCGGTCCCCAAGATCCGAGGCGGGGTGTCAGGGTACGAGGTGTCGAAGCCCAGAATAAACGACAGGTGCGGATGATTGGGGATTTGTAGCTTCGCGGTCGTAGAATGCGCGCTTGGGTTCGGGGCCCCGGAGCTGCCGATATCTAGTGTAGATGTAGACGTTGGTATTGTTGATGTTGATGTCGTAGTGGTAGTTGTATTGGATGCCGGTGTACTGGTTACGACGACGGTGTCGGGCTCGTAGATCGCATTGATGGCTTCGATTTCTTCGGCCAGATCAGGGTTCTGTAGGGAGTCGAGGTCGGAAGACATTGTTTGGGCATTTGGGGGGGTTGCGCTGTTCGCGATTGTGGTGACTGAGGAGAAACCATCGGAGAGAACCCCGCCGATGTCATTTTCGTCGGTTTGCTGAGTCAGTTACTGGTCTGTGTAGTAACTATTTCCTATTGTCTCCAAACAAATAGTGCTTTATTGTTCAATTGAATAGTTTCTGTGAAGAACTCTTTAAATAAGGAATAATTAGTGGGTCTGGGTTTTCCCTTTTTAAGTTTTAGATATCCAACGTTGTCTGATTATTGAGGGGAAAGTCCGTGCTACCCAAGATATATATTTAAGAAGCAAGCCGGTTATTGTCAATATTCATCCTTCAACGAAGCTGTTACTTCAACGCATCAAACGCAATATATGTCAAAAGACACCCCCTAATTTAATATGATAATTAACTAACACCCCATACCCAGCATATTCCCCAGGTTTTCCACCTGCAAGGACTGCAGCACATCTGATACGTCACCCTCAACGTCGATGCCATCTAAGTCCTTCACCTGCCAGAATGCGCGGAAACCACCGACCAACCTCTCAGTGATACTCCGGACTTCATCTCCCGGAACTGCCGAGAAACACAGTCTGAAGTAGGGATGGGATCGATCCGTGATCTGCTGCGAGGGAGAGAACATGCTACCAGGGGCCAGCAGAGACAGATGTGGAGCTTGCGTCAAAAACACCCAGAATGCGCGAGACAGCTTCTCGACCGAGTACGTCCCATGCAAGGGATGCGTCTCGAAGGCCGCCTTGATCCACACGAACATGCCGCCCTCTGGCCAGACAAAATCGTACAGCTGTACCTTATCCACCACCTCCCAGGTACTTTCGTCCGCGGATTCCGCGTCATCGCCGGCGTCGATGAGGTATTTGCCTTCTTCGAGCGCGCTGCACATGTCCTGCATGCGCTTCTCATACCCTCCTCGCAGTCCCTCCAGCCACCGCACCCAGCCGTCCATTTGCCAACCCTGATCGCCCTGCTTCTTGGTCGTCGAGGCGGTTTCATCGGTCTGCTGTCCCAGGATTAGCTCGGCCACCATGGCCTGAACGAACCCGGAGGGCTGCTGCGTCGTCGTCTCCGCGATGCGAGCGACTCGTTCAATGATGGCCGGCTGCGCGGTAATCCATCCCAAGCGGCATCCCGGCGCGATGGTTTTCGAGAACGTGTCGATGCGGACGACGCGTCCGTCCGTGTCAATGGAGAGATACGACGGGACGAGAGAGTCCAGGAATTGATACCCCGACGACCGACCGTGGGCATTGTAATTGCGCGTCGGCGACGCGGTGTCGACCGACGGGCCGCGGTATTCCGCCGCGAGACTCTTCGCGGACGGATACTGCAGATTCCAGTACGGATCGTCTTCGATAATCACAATATCGTATTGTTGACAGAGCGCGTAGATTTCTTTTCGTCGTTCGACGGACAGAATACCGCCCGTTGGGTTCTGGCCGATCCTGTTGCCAAGAATATGCAGAACCGTTAGTTAACTGTCGCTTGCCGTGCCCATGTGGGCTTTCATTGTTTATCCAACGCCCAGGAAAAGCGCGTCCCTTCACGCCAAACTTCCAGCGCCCTACTTACGTGATCGTGTATAGAAGATGCGGCCGGCGGCCTTTCCGGTTATCCCAGTTCCTGAGCACGTCGGCCAATCCCCCCTTACCGTGCGCCAGCATACCCTGCGCGTCAATCGCGACCGGCGCCACATTGAGACCACGCGGCTTGACGGTAGCCACGGCGTTCATGTACACGAACTCCTCGCAGAGGATGCCCTCGCGATGCCGCAACCAGTCGCGGTCCGGATCCCAGATATTGGTGAATGCTTCAACGGCCTTGGAGAAGCCATCGGTGGATCCGCAGGTCAGGAGGGTATCGGGGCCTTTGGCGTAGGGCACGTTAGGGTGCAGATGCACGCGGGTGAATTGTCGGATGAACTCGGCTAGGGGAGGCAGGCCTTCGACGGTTCCATATTGGAGGGCTGTGGTGATATCGATCTTCTTTTGTAGATTGGCTGTCGGACTTTCCCTAGGGATGGTCATCCGGGCGGATGAGCGCGCATCGTCAGATTTCTTCGTCGCATCTACCTCCGAGGGCGGGAAGCGCTGTGGACGAGCGACGGATGCTTCGATGGTATCGTAAGGGAAGTAGGAAGCATTGGGAAGACCTGGAGATAACCGACATGGGGAAGGGATCAGCGAGGTGACAGATTGACAGGCCGGTAGGTATGGATAATGGATGGCCAAAAAAACCTTATCCCATCAGATCAATGAGAGTGACAATCAAACCTACCGCCGGCTAAGTTGGCAATGCCTGGAATGAGGAAATATTTGTATAGATCCTTGATGGTGCTGGCCTCCCTCTTCTTAGTGGCGTAGGAGAAGTGATGGGATAAATCCAACGGAGGAGTAGCCATCGCGGACGACAAGAGGGAATTTTCTTTCTAAGTAGAGTCAACTACTCAATACTCAATAGTCGATGACGCAACTGTCGGTCTCAACAGACGTAGGAAGATGAAGATGGACGAGCTTTTACGAGTACGCAGTGATTAGACAAAGCATTCAGATTCAGATTGAGATCCTAATCCTACGTAACGCGGCACAAGCACATATAAGAAGGGCAGCGCTATCAGCCAGCAACCATTTGCTTGATAAGCACAACATCGCCGGTGGGCGCTCCACTTGGATTCCTGGTGGCCATCCTGACTGGTTGCAGCAGAGGCAAGACGGGATTTGTGTCGAGGATGGCGGATGTGATGTCTTATCCGACAAATCCGAGGGACTCACTAGAGTCAGAGTACTGATAGGGAGGGGATCCAGCAGGGGAGCGTTGCCGATCCCATCCAGACCTCTCCGCATGGGCTTCCCCGGAGTGAACGGAGTAGGGAGGATGCAATTCTTCCTCTATCAACGGTCTGTCAACCAGCACGTGACAATCTCCGCAGGATAGCTGACATAAGCACACCACCGCCACCGGGTGCAGCCACTCAGATGCACCGCCACCGCCTGACCTGGCGATCTTCCGGTGTTCTTCGGCGCTTCTTGTCGTCCGCTTCCCCTTCTTCTCCCTCATCTCTACCTCCATCACTGTCCAGTTATTCTTATCGCGCCGTTTGATGTGCGTCGCATTCAACAATCGTTATTGCTATCGGATTATGTCCTTCCACTGGCTGTGAGGGACTCGGCCTAGAACTCGTCCTTCTATTGATATTATTTGATCCCGATTGATTCATTTATTCCCGCCTGCGGTCTAGAACTCTAGCCTTGTTCTTCCTTGCCCACCGTTCGTCCCCCACTCCCGCCCGTTGCCTATTTGGTCGCATTTGTTTCTTCGTCCTCGCCTTTCCGCTCGTCTATCGCTGGTCCGATTTCACGTCAAATTATTTCGTGACCAATTTCCAGCATGCTTGGTGAAGGCACCGAGGATGGTACCCGCGTTTATGTTGCTCCGTTGCTAGACGACGACGACGATCATCCCGACGCTCCCGATATCCTGCAGCCTCAAGATGAGGAGACCGGCGTCATCTACCTCCCCGTCTGGTTACGGGAATCGTCCAAGTCCTTTCACTGGAGTTGGGTCCCTCTTCCTATTCGAAAGGTCGCATGGGCCACGGCGACCTGGGTGAAGGGCCCCGACCCGCCCCATGACCTCCTGTTGAAGCCTTTGTTCCCTCGTATCCAAGAACTCCCGGTCCGGTACCTGGAACGCTTCTTCCCCAAGCGGGGACACAAGATCACCTTGCTTTTCTTGCTGTATTTTGTCTGGTTTCTGCCCTGGACTATCGTCCTCTTGCATGCGCGCTCGGCCGGTTATATAGAAGGCTATGGGCGTCCCCAGACCCTTTCGTGCTCGACAAGTTTTTGGTAGGCACCCGTCCTTGTCCTCGGGCTGGCCTGGCTCCCTTTGTGTTTATCCGCTCTAACTCGGATTCGATCGCAGGGATTTTGGAAACGAATGCGGACTGAATGGAAATGATTGCCGCCCATTTTCGGCATCGACAATTCCTTTCCGCTGTCCCGCGAACTGCCGGGACGCCAAGCTGTCGGAACCCCATACCGTCGGCAACCATACCTATAGTTACCGCGGCCTTGTAGTTGGTGGCCCGCAACCCGATTTCGATGAAACCCCCATCTACCGAGCCGACAGCTTCGTCTGTCAGGCGGCCATCCATGCCGGCGTCATCACCAATACTGTGGGGGGTTGCGGCGTGGTGCAGCTGGAGGGTGCGGCGCACTCATACCCTGCTTCTAAGCGCAACGGCATTCAGTCGGTCGGATTCCCTTCGACGTTCCCCAAGTCATTCAGCTTTGCGTCGCTGTCCTCGTCGCAGGAGACTTGCCCCAAAGATCCGCGGTGGCCTCTGCTCGGCATCACTATCGGGTCGCTGACTGTCCTGTGGCTCTTCTGCACTTCCCCGCCCGTGTTGTTCTTCAGCACGTTCGCCATGGTCTTCTGTCAGGTGGGATTGGTGTCCGACCCGCCATCATACCCCCAATTCGCCGATCTCGTCTCCAGCCTCCTTTCGCGACTGCTGCCGGCATCATTTGTGGCCTACGTGCTATTTAAATACTGCGCCCGTCCCTTGCTTACCCCGCTCTCCGAACCTGTGTACCAGATGACGAGGGCGTTCCTCTACCTGCCTCCCGTGTTCATTGGCGCCTTGAACAACTACACTTTCGCCAGGCTGATTCCCCTTGAACGTCTCACGCCTTATGACATCCAAAAACAGCCGGGGGCGAAGCTGGCCCTGGCCCTGGTGATCCCAACGGTGATTACCATTATTCTCAGCCAAGCCTGGAAGATTCGCCAGGGTGGTTTGATGCCGCATTATTTGAAGATCTATTGCACCATGGGCTTGATTCTCCTGATCCTACTTCCGTTGCCCGGCCTACGCCTGCGAATCCATCATTATATTCTCGCCATCCTTCTCATGCCCGGAACCGCCCTCCCCACACGCCCGTCGCTGATCTATCAAGGTCTGCTCCTCGGTCTTTTCATCAACGGTGTCGCCCGGTGGGGATTTGCCTCGATCATCGAGACACCGGCGGCTCTGGGCGAACAGCCCGGCGGATCCCACGGCTGGTGGGGAGGCACCTACCCCGATATTTCGAATAAAACTGTGGAGATCTCCCTGCCGGGTAGGGACTCGAGAGAAATGTACCACGGTAACGGCAACATCACCTTCCTCCTGTGGGAGCGCGAACGCATGGCCGACCTCGGCGTGGACGGCGTGTCCGTCTTGGTCAACGATGTGGAACGCTGGCGCGGATACCTGGACGAGGACAAGTACGGCGAGTTCACCTGGCACCGACACGGCCACAACGGTCTCGAACTCAAACACAGTCCCATGATCGAGAGCGACGACGAACCCGACTTGATAGACTCGACATCCATAGAAGCAGAAAGCGAAGCTACAGAGGACAAGAAACCCGAAGACCTCTTTTTCCGGTTCGCCTTCTTAAAAGGCGCGGATGCGGGCATATACAGCGGTGCCGGAGTTTGGTTAGAAGACGGAGAATGGATTTCACCTCCTCCGCCCAAGAATTAGACTTTTGGATTTGGATTTGTTTAAGCTATCTCGGGCTTGCTTTGGATCAATCTTTTGTGTTATCCTTAGGATCTTGCAGTCATCCTATATTCTTTTTGGGCTGTAGAATTGGACGTGGTTAGACCAGACAGATCAACAGATAAACACAGTATGCATTGGACAATACTCTACCTCTGAAGGGTGGTGCTGTGCTAGTTCATTAGGACTTCTGAATTGATTGATCAGCTTAGGCGTGTTGGGTATGATTTGGTTGATTGACTTGGTAGATGGCGTGGCGTTCACTTTTTTTCTTTGCTTCGTTGACCTTGAACTTCAACGATCATGATACCTCAATCTTTTAGATTTCTATCTTTATTTTTTATAGATGTTTTCATGGATACACATACCAGACATACTTATTCCCCCAAGAGGTCCTACCCGTTTAGATAGATGGAGATAAATCAGAAGACTCTTCGTCCACGAAGTTCTGCCTTTGGGGGGAAAAATATGAAAAAATAAAAATAAAAATAAAAGACCAAAAAAGAAAACCAACTCGGTCAGGCACACTAGAGGATAAATAAAGAAAATCAATATTTTAGACAGGCACAGCTTCAGCTGCCACCAAGAATATCTATGCCCTGGGGCAGAATGCAAAGTCAAACACTATACGTACAAAGACCCCCTAGAAACTCGCTCTAAGCAGAAGTACTAGACGAAGCCACAGCACTAGAAGTAGGGCCCATGTTTCCAATATCACCCATACCAGCCATGTTCATCTCAAAGTCATCGTTCACTTCACCGCCATCTTTAGTCCAGTAGCCCTCCGGAGAGAGGCTATCATCGCGCTTGGAGTTAACCCCAATGGAAATCCAAGCAAAGATTCCGTCCGAGGCCTTGTCACCCAAGTAAACATACTCCATAAAAGGATCCACATTATCAGTCTCGGCTTCCAAGATACTATCCTCTGAGTTCGTGGTCAACTCCTGGGTATTGGACGAGTATGGCTCGTATTCTTCGACGGCGCTGATCAGATCCTGGTCCAAGAAGATTTGGCCCACATGAGACGAGTGCCCGTCGTAGATACCGGCAATGGTACCGTTGGGGAGGATTTTGGTTTCGTTCGCTGGGTGGGTGACCACTAGAGATAATTATTAGTATTTTGTTGATTATATAGGAGATATGGTAATTTTTCTTACCGTGCATGTGGATAGCACGACCGGTATAGTGACCAGGGAAGATGGATTCAAATCGGACAACACCATCATTTCCGCTCTTCTGGACACCACGAAGGAAAGTGGTGTTCAAGTTAGTAGTATCATTTTGGTTACCGTTGCCATTCGCGACAACACCAGAGTAAACTCCCTATAAGAGGAACTTGTAAATATCCACGAGAAATGATAGCGCAGCCTTAGGGTTTGACTTACGGTAGCATTGCAGTGCCAGATATCAGTATAGATGTGAGGCAGAGGCTGGCAGGTATTGGTGTCAATCAGCTGAATATCCATGTAAAGCGGAATGCCAGCCTGATCTTCCGCAATATTCTCGCGGATGAGCTCGCCAGCAATGTCTGGAAAAGGTCAGAGTAGAATTTCTAGAATTTTCTTCGGAATTCTCACAGTAAGGTCCTTGAGTAACCTCGGGCTGAACAATACAGGTTCCCTCGGAGCCGAACAAAACCCGCGGATCAGTGGATGGATCAACATGAGTCAAGTTAGAATGGTGGGTAGTTGCCAAGGTAGAGTCCAAATCGCGGGCCTTCAGGTATCCCGGACCTAGAAGTTTGAGTCAGATTGCAATCTTTTCCACCAAGGAGACGGATCACACTCACTAGTAGTAAGACCGCGCTTGCGTCGCAATTCTTCCACAGCGGCGTGACGACGTGCAACGTTAGGGTTCTCGACACCGCGCTTTTCGAAGTTGGAGGCACATTGGGAAAGACTACGGGACTGGACAGGAACACTTTTCAGGTATGCAGCGCGTTCGGCAGCTTCAGCCTTGACATCATGTCCAGGATGAGCGAGTCCGAAGCTGGCGAGACCAGCAAGGGCAAGTGTGAAAGGTGAAGTCAAATGAACCATTCTGCGAGATAATGACCAAGTCTGGGAAGTCTGGGAGAATTGAATGAGGATTGCTGTGGGAAAGACTTGTAGGTATACATCGAGCTGATATTTATACCATGTCTTCACAGATTCATCGCCCAAAAGTCGTGGAATCAAGGTCAGGGTCATTACCAAGAAGGAAAGGTGACGAATTGAGCAATTCCAATTCGTGGATACGTTTCATCACCCCTCGTGTGGGGGACATGGAACCGCTTCGAGGCCTTTTTTGGATGCGATGTTCGTAATCTTGCAGCATTAGCAGGAGGAAATGCGGGCGTATACCGGTAGGTACCCGCCGCTACTAGAAGAAGATCCCCAAATCAACTTGGATAGCTGCGAACGTTGCGTGTGTAAACGGTGTACTATGCGGAACCAGACCGTGTGCCAAGACTGTTGCCTTCTGCTATAAGCTTATGAAGAAAGGATCTACGCGATGAAACTGAGACTTCCGCAGCAAAGCCTTTTTGTGGTCCGTCTTAGTAACTCCTAGTTGGCTAACTTACTTAGTAGATGAATGACTATTACTACCTTAAAGTTTGTTTGGTCCTTGTTCTCAAAGAGCGGCTCCTCTGTCAACACTCCTTGGCTGCTTAGAAGTAAGATTTGCTTTTTAGATATTCGTTGACATTGGTGCGGTCTATGTAAAGCCTTCTCCTCTTCTCTCGTTCTCAATTTCTTCAATTATAGGTCTATTTGTGATATTCCTCTATTACGTTATTTCATCGTTCCAAAGGGGCTGTACGAGGGTTTCAGAAGAATCCATAGATGCCTAAAAGTTTCTCGCTCTCCACCCCTTCAACTATTGGCAGGCAAAATAGATATCATGTAATCATAATCTTCAAAGAAGTTGACTCTCGCGCGAAGAGCTCCAGGAATCTCAGCAGAACCGAGATATACTTCAAAGCCGGGGTAAGGCGGGTCTCGGTAGATCATCTCCCGTATCCAGTTTAGTCTTCGGTCAGAATTTGCCCGATTACCTCATCATCTACTTACCCAAGTCCTCAGAGACCGGTAGCGTTCACCTGTTGCCCACTTCTCAGGGCCTAATCTCCTTGCCGGCCCAGAAAACGCACCATTCGTGCAGTGAAGTCTACTCAGTGTACACCATACGTAAAGCAGTGGGGTACTTTTAGAGGACCGGCCGTGGGACGCTGGCCAACCACGTCGGGACAATGAGCGATATCACCAAGACGCGGATTGCCTGCAATCTCTGCCGCCGTCAGAAGGTAGGAAGTGTCCACGCCTTCAACTATATTACCGCTATTTGTAAGCTCCTAACTAACGGTTTCTCAGATCCGCTGCGATAAGGCCCAGCCTGCATGTGAAAACTGCCGTGACGCTGGCGTCGAGTGCGTTTTCACTCCACTTCCACGTCGGAAAAAGGCTCGCGAGTGAGATGAAACATCATTTTCTATATGATAAAAGTCGCTGTCTATTAACAAAAAAAAAAAAAATAGGCAACTTGAAGAGAATTTAGTCTATACACGACATCTAGAGGAATCATTACGTTCATTACACCAGAATCATGCTTTTCCCTCTCCGATACCCGGTCTATTCGATCCATCGGGATTTGAAACCTCATTAACAGCATTTCTATGGCATCTTCAATTTTGTACCCCCGGGGTCACTCTGAATGCTCAACTAGCTTCGATATTTGATTTCAACGACTTTGCCCGCCAAATCACATCATCTAGGCTACCAGGAGGGGAGACGCGAAGTATCAATCTTGCTTTACCACAGTGGCCAACTCGCTACGTAGTCGAGCAAGTAATTGGCCACTTCACCAACAGTCAGCTGTACACCATTTTCCCTATAGTCAACATTGAGAGCTTGACGTCTCTTCTCAACGCCAATTCTCTTGATCCTGGCGTGGGAATGATGAACCCAGCGGATAGGGCATGTCTAGTAGCGTTCACGGCATTTATCACTCATATTGAGCACCACGAACTTGCTTTCTTACACGCTAACTCCGATTCCTATCTGCAAGCCGCACTCTCTTTAGTTCCACAACTGATCATGGAACACACCAATACTCGTGCCCTAGAGGCTCTTCTCATCATGGTCGGTCGACTCATGATCTAGGACTTCCCTGGCGTGCACTAACATTATGTAGGCACTCTATATCGCTCCTCTCGGCCAGCCACAGACAGCCCAGCTTCTTCTCTCCATGGCGATACGGATCCTCTACAATCTAGGGGGCCATACCATCCAAGGCCCGCTCGACTCCTTATCTCCCAGTGTCAGGCGTCATCATGAGCATTTAAGACACTTATTCTGGATGTGCTATTCAATAGACACGGAAATGTCTCTTCGAAAATGCCAAGCCCCTCTCATCAACGACGCTGACTGCAATCTCGAACTCCCTGCAGCATACAGATCTACGCCATCTCCGCGACCACCCTTCACAGATCCCCAGCAGAGTTTCCCTGAGGTTGTCTTCAACTCAGATCTCCGGATGGTAATGTTCAAATCAAAAGTTTACCGGCAGCTTTACTCTCGACCCAGCTTGGAAGCCTCCGTGGCCACACGGCTTCGTCTTATCCGAGAACTAGACCACGAGCTTCATGAACTCAAGGCTCTACTTCCTCATTCCCACCCGGAAACTCCTTCCGAGACAAGCTCCGGCCTCTCAGATACCGGTCTCTCAGATGCTTCTGCTCGCGGTCACAATATTCGATCGGTTATGGTCAACTTGGAATATTACCACTGCTTGACCAAGATCCACGGTGCCAGTCTTGTCGGTCACGACGTAACCGAGGAATCATCCGCTCCTTCAAGTCTGGAGTTATGTTACCAGGCTGCTCGTTCAACTCTTTTATATCTGAGTCGGATGCCAGAGCTTATCAGTGAAGAAACCTTCTGGTTCGTTTCTCCTACGCTCTCTATTTTTTCATTAGTGATACCCATACCCCATTCCCTAACATCTGATGATCAGGATATCCGCCCAATTCCTCCTAACAGCCGTACTGGCTCTGCACTACCGCCTTATCACACGCCGCCATGATACTTCCCATCCTCCACATGAAGACCTATCTATTTTGAGAAACATGCTGGATGTCTTCGTCCAGCTGAAGAACAACAACATTGCCTCCTCCCCACGTCCCTTTGAACCATTCATAATCACGGAAGCTTTTATTCGCTACCTGATTAACCTTTCATGTTCGCCATAAGTGGTTTTAAAGTGTCAGAAAGGAGAATAAATATTGATATAGCTTCAATATACTATATTCATTCGATTATTTTATTTACTTTTTTTATCTTGTTTAGTCTTGATTTAGTGATCTGCCCACGGTGTTTAAGGCATGCTCAGGTCAACTGAGTGTGCGAAGATCGGCGAGTGATGAGCACTAAAACAGGAAGAAGGGAAGTGGCCGAGTTGAGCTGGGTAGAAAAACCGATACATGTCACATCCGCTACAATACCATGCCCCTATTCATGTACACTTGTGATTTGACCTCCTCTTTCTTCATGAGCCTTGTCCGACGACAGCCGCAGCACCTCTTCCGCGTCCTCGGTTTCCAGCTCCTCGCTCCGATCCTCCTCTTCCACGTCCACGTCCACTACGACCACCTCCTCTCGGGGGTGGCACCTGCGAATAGTTCTGAGGCCGGAAGTTCGGGTTGTTTTTCACGATGCCAGCTTCCGGGTCAGTATCTACCTGGCTGTATCCTCCCCGTCCGCGATTCGCTCCTCCACGGTTGCCGCGGCCGCCGTTGGATCCGCCGCGACCTCGGCCTCCGCGGTTCGAGCCGTCCACTTCGACAACATGAGGCCGGAAAGGTAGGCTGGTCTGCACGCCCACTCCGTTGGAGGCGCCACGTCCGCCGCGTCCGCGACCATTACCTAGTCCCGAGACAGCACCGCGGTAGGAGTGGCTCAATGGCGCGGGCGCCGGGGCCTCTTTCAAAGGTGCCCCAACCCTAGAAGCACCTCCAACCGTCAAAGGCGTCGGTTGGGTTTGCTGCTGCTGGTTGGAAGCCGCACGAGTGTTCGCAAGCAGTTGTCGGTACGAGATGTTCAAGACCGAGGAGGCCAGCACGGTTTGACCGCGGAAAGGAGAGCAGCGATCACCCAGAGTGGTGCCACTCATGAAAGACACATCGAAAACAACGTCGAGCAGAACGGCTCGCGATGTCCTTGTGAGTCCGACAACCGTGCCTCGCGTGGCGATAGGCACCTTGCCGGAGTCCTGGGCGTAAACTACCCGATCGCCTAGCTTGAACGTCTGGCTGCCCAGGCGTTGCTCGACGTCAGAGGGGCGAAGGAGAGCGCTCCGGGGAACACCCTTGAGCTTCTTGACCGACATCTGAGCTTGGGAGACGCCGATCTGGTCCGCATCCTGCTCGATCAGCCTCACGATGTCCGAATCAAGCTGTTCGGCTTCCAAAGGCACTCGCTCGAAGTTCTTAGCTTCCATCGATTTGAGCCAGTCGCGGATCTCCTTCATTCTCACAAGAGCAAGCTCTTCGGGGTAGAAATCAGTGGGCTTGTACCGGTCGTTTTGCGGGTTGCGTTGGATCCCCGCGATAAACTCGGGGAAGTTGATCATGTACTGCTGGAGCAATTCGACCGCTTTGGGGCTGAACTCCCAACCAGATTCGCCCCGTCGGGAGTATCCAAGGACCTTCTGCTTGCGCGCTTCAAACTTCAAGTTGAGACCGAGATTCACCCGCTGCCCTTCGATATCCACCGAGAAGGAAGAGGTGATCTTGGCCAACACCAAGGGGTTCAAACGAAGGTTGCGGGCAATGGCGTACGACGGCATGTAAGGGCAGAGCCTCTCGGCATCCCTAGCGCGCTCCCGTCCAAATTCCGGATCCCGGCCCTTCACGGATGCGAGCAATCCATTCACCTTCCCCTGCTCGTGTCCGGTCACATGGACTGGTCGTCCGTAATTGAAGTCTCCCAAGAAGAATGCTCGAGATCCTTCAGGGAATTCCTGCTCAATAGGTAGAGCTTCCCGTTCAATGAAGCGTTCGTCGGGGTTCGTGACATCGTCGACGATCATCTGGAGCGCATAGTCCGTCTCCTGGCCCGGGATGTCCGCAAATTCCTTGATAGTGGACCCTTCGTCGGTTTTGATCAGACCCTTAAGTGGTTGCACATGCACCATGACTTCAACGGGGCCGATGATGGTGCCAAGCCCTCGGCTGTAGCTTCCTTCGATCTTTTCTGCCTTCTTCTTCCACTGGTTGATCTGAACATCGGTATGATGAATAGAGGCAACGTGCTGCTCACCCTCGGGTAAGATGTAATCAAACAGCTCATCCGAAACACGAACAACATATGCTTCCTGCAAGAATGGGTAGTTGACGTAGACTCGCTTTCCGAGCTTGCTCTTGGCAAGCTCGGTATTCGAGCGGCTTCCGGGGTCAAGAATCGTGATGACCATGCTTTCGTTGCGGCTTTCCTGTTGGAAAACGCACACTCCGTGGAAGCCCAATTGGCCAACATGGGGCAAGTACTTCAAACTCGGGAAGCCTGCCAATGCCGCGGATCCAAGATGTACTCCATCCATCAATCCAATGTACGGCTCCAGGCCGTCCATGGTAGGCAGATCAAAAATGTTCTGGATACAATGGCAGCTAGGAATATCGGGGAAGATGCCCGGAAGCGACGAGGGATAAGCGTATTGCACATCTGGCGAGTAGGTGAACTTCAGACTGGTCCCGAATCCATTGCGAGATTTTTCTTCCGGGGTTAGTAGATGTTCCTTCGTTTTCAGCGCGTCCAACAGGCGGTCTTGATCAATGAATGGAATCTTGACGACAGCTTCCCACTCCATCTTTTTACCGTTCATGTCCAGCTCAAAGTCACGCGGATAGAAGTCAATGATTGGCGAATCCTCCGACGTCATCAATTCCCAATACGCCTTCGGCACGGTCTTCTTACTCCGGTCAGGCAAAACACCCATAAGCTGCTCATAAGGCTTGAAGGGTCGACCAAGCTTGAAGTTCGTATCTGCCTTCAGTCCCTTTTTCACGTCTGGAACAGGTCAGCATTTGCATCTTCAGTGAAAAGTTTGGTTGGGAAAATAAAAGAGGATGAAAACCCACCAGAGATCATTGGGGCATAGTGATATCCGAAGAACCACGGCCAGGACGCAATTCCCCTGTAGTAATAGTATAGAACCCATTGTAAACCTTGAACATAGTTCTCCGTAAGTTTTCGCATTTCTTCATGATTCTCCAGACCCCATCCAAACTTCGTCACGTAGTATTTGTCTTTCCATTCCTGGAACTTCTCTTCGTACTTCTTCTCGGCTGCTTGCTGAGCTTCCTCAGGGGACAGCTCCTGCACCTTGGCATTATCATACTTGCGAATGATACGCTGAACGGCCATCGAGGCCTCCTCATCTTCATCTTCGCTGTCATCATCATCTTTGGCGGGTAGCTGCACCCTAATGAACCGTTCTCCATGATCATCCGAGATGGTGGTCCACGGGAGCCGCAGGTCATCTGCAAGCTGCTCAATAAACTTGCGGTCGCGGGCAGGGAGAGTAGGAGGGAAGTCAAGCGGTTTCGTATCTGCTGCCTTTTCAGGTCGGTTCAGAACATACTTCTTGACATCCTTGAAAAGATTCTTCTGGGCCGGTGTGATGGCAAGGCCCTTGGGTTTCGCCCCAAGTTCGGCGTTGTCCTCGGCACCATTCTTCTTGGCCCGAATCCATTGCGCATCCGAGAATTCGGCCTCGAAAAAGCGAAATTCCACATCGCTCAGGCCATCCAGAAGCAACCCCAGTCGTTCCATGTTAATCACACCTCCTTCGTTGATGTAGCCACCCATTTTGGGCAAAATCTCTTTGTACATCTTGAACATCAGTGCCAATGCGCCCTCATTAATATGCAAATTAGGCAGGTTAGGAAGGAAATCATTTCCCACAAAGAAAGCCATCAGTATGAAATCGTCGATGACTCGTTCCATATCAAAAGGGAAAGCCAAAGCACCCTCTTTCTCCAGCTCTTGAAACTCTAGCTCCAAATATTCTCGGACCATAGATAAATGTAACAAAAAGAAATTTTGATGTTCCAACTCCTTGGACTTTTTCTGGACCTGACGTCCAAAAGTGACCTCCTCACGGAGCAGGCAAAAATGGGGGTCGTGACTCAGAAGACCCAACATGATGAGGTCCGCATCGAGGCCGTAAAGACAGTGGCGAACATTCGGGTCATAACCGGGCTGTGCTTTCGCATGCCGGATGTATTCCATGATCTTGTGTTCTCCTTCTCCTGGTGTTTCATGACCTGAAAGCACAATCTCAACACCTTGCCAATCTTTGTCTTCCGAGATCTTCTTGCTGATGAAATATTTCAATTGTTCGGTCAATTTCGCCATGAACTCGGTTCCCGGTGTAATACAGTTACTATCAAACGGGTCCTCCTTAGGCATCTCAATGCCCTGGCTGATGGCCTTGTCCTTCGCTACCTCAGCGTCCAGCGCAGTCCGGAATCGTCTTGCGCGTTGTTGGTTCATTTTGGCACGGGGAGCGACACCGTCCACCGCCATGAAAAAGAGCTTTTTCGGTTTGATCTTTCCGTACAAATGCTCGATGTAATTGAAAATCGCAATGAACATTTTATCTTCCGTCATGCGGAAAGTCGGAGAATCGCTGTCTTTGTGTGTACAATTGTGAATAATACCGTTCATGTCAAGGTACAAATTGTCGAACTCGGGTATCCGGTTCTCTGCGATCAGGGTCGAGATGGACGGATACCGCTCGCTCAGCCATCGGAAGAATTTAGGAACACCCATGGTGATTGGAGAGTAGGAAAAGAAATTATTCAAGCAGCGGATGCGTCGTTCGTCGTAGCGATGGTCGTCGAAGTCGTCAGAATCCTAGTAATGAAGAACCCAAGCTCCGAAGGCAAGATAGGTAGGTAGTGATGCGGACGTGGGCTGAAGGGAATGACTGCAAAATGCTCAAAGTACAGTCCCAAGCGGAACACGAAAGGAAAGGAAACAATCCAATTAAGAATAGGAAACCCTAAACGGAAGGCGACAAGGCCTAGTAAACTTGTGAGGGAACAGTGAAGAGAAAGAAAGAGGTTCAGGTGAGGTCAGCGGAGTGACTCGAGGTTCTTCCCGGTTCTGACTAAGTCCAATTAGCTCTGACGCTCTGACAGCCTGAGGCCGCCGGGTCCAGTGACGCTGCCAAGCCTGTTTGGCCCGAAGAGTACTAGCCCGTCGTGGGCGGTCATTAACGCGCTGCCGGCAGGAAAGTCGCGTTTCTGAGCAGAGCTCGACCGCAGCTCCAAGTCCTGCCACCCTTTACGTTGACCTCGGCGCTACTCTCACAGACCCCTACTGTAACACTCCCGGTGTTACTTACTTATCGCTCCTGATCTAAAATTTTCAGCTGCCGAACTATTCTACCTTGACTTCGGTCCCTTCAATCAGCAACTTCCCCCAGAGAATCATGGAGCCCTACGAGGATGGTGCGATCCCCGATATCGTCTGTCGCGCGAATATTCAGCTCACCTTTCTTTTGCCCTAGGTTTCATTGAGGAGCAGGAAGAGCAGGAGGAGGAGCGTACTGAGGAGAAGATCATCAACGAAGGTATTTTGCCCTGGTCTACCCTATCTCAGATCGAATGTGGATGCTAAGAAGTTTTCAAATCCAGAATACAAAACGTGGAAGAAGAATGCGCCGTTCTTGTATGACATGATTCTCAGCACAGCTCTGGAGTGGCCCACTCTCACGACACAATGGCTACCCGACAAGCAAGAGTATGCGCTCTTCCCTTGCCTTTTACATATCGCCCTCAAGTCTGACATGAACCCAGGGTGCCCGATAAACCGTATTCGACGCACCGTCTGTTGATCGGTACACATACGTCGAGCGACGCGCAGAACTACCTGCAAGTTGCTCACGTGCAGCTTCCTAACCCGACCACTCCCAACCCAGATGACTACGATGAGGAGCGCGGAGAAATCGGTGGCTATGGTGGCAGCTCCAAGAAAGCGCCTATGGAAATTAAGTTCAACATTGTCCAAAAGATTGACCACAAGGGCGAGGTCAACAAAGCTCGGTATCAACCACAAAACCCCAATGTGATCGCCACGATGTGTACGGACGGGAGAGTCATGATCTGGGATCGTTCAAAGCATCCCAGTTTGCCCACCGGGACCGTGAACCCCCAGATGGAACTTCTGGGACACACCAAAGAGGGTTTCGGTCTCAGCTGGAGCCCTCATGCTACAGGACACCTCGTCACGGGTAGTGAAGACAAGACTGTCCGACTTTGGTAAGTCCTAAAGAAGCCCCCAATTGCTGTAGCCTCTGAGAACCCGATATTGACCATTATCAAAAGGGACTTGACGACGTTCACTAAGGGCAACAAGGCCCTCAAGCCTACTCGCACTTACACGCACCATTCCTCGATTGTCAACGACGTTCAGTATCATCCCCTGCACTCCTCGCTCATCGGAACAGTATCCGACGATATTACCCTTCAAATTCTCGACATCCGAGAGGCAGAGACGACTCGGGCGGCCGCGTCGGCCGAGGGTCAGCACCGCGATGCGATCAATGCCGTCGCTTTCAACCCCGCTGCGGAAACGGTTCTTGCGACTGGTTCGGCGGATAAAACGATCGGTCTTTGGGATCTCCGTAACCTCAAGACCAAGCTTCACGCACTTGAATGCCACAACGACTCGGTCACTTCGATCTCTTGGCATCCGTTCGAGGAGGCCGTTCTGGCCAGTGCCAGCTACGACCGGAAGATCATGTTCTGGGATCTGAGCCGAGCGGGCGAGGAGCAAACTCCTGACGATGCCCAGGATGGACCACCCGAGCTGTATGTGACCTGGATTATCCTATTTCTCGATCAGTTTCAGGACCTTTGAGTAGATCGCTAACTCAATTTCTTCACAGGCTCTTCATGCATGGTGGACACACCAACCGGATCTCCGACTTCAGCTGGAACCTCAACGACCCATGGGTTCTTTGCTCCGCCGCCGAAGACAATCTGTTACAGGTCTGGAAGGTTGCTGATGCCATTGTTGGCAAAGATCTGGAAGACGTTCCGACTGAGGAGATTGAGCCTTGATTGATTGATGCTCATATTGTGAAAAGAAGGTTTTGATACCTATCGGCTTGAGGTCTTTTGTATTAATTTGTTACAAACTTATTGCGATGAGTGTTAAAAAATTAAAATTTTTGAACGAGAACTTGCTCTCGCATCTTGTATTTCTGGTCAATCCTATGTTTAAAATAGTCTATCAGCGTTAATTCACTTAACAGCAAGGTCCATTTTCATAAAACCCATGTCAGGTAGCAGACAGTCTTATAGTTTGGAGAGTTTGCGGTTCAGCGCGAGATCAAAGACTTTCTCAAGCCGACGCAGCGTCTCGTCAGATATTTCTGTCATTTATTAGCACGCAGTGTGAGAAGGACTACTTCCTGTGTCATTGGGTTAATCAGAGGACTTACGGTGATGCACCACTATCCTCGTTTCAGACAACCTCAGGCCTTTCTGCTTTCCGATATCAGCCAAATCCGTCGGCTGGAGTCCTGCCGCTTTGATATCAACCCACACCATATTGGTGTGAACTGGATACAGCAGTTTGCCGCCCCTGCTCGTCCACATATCTGCTATTTTCTGAGCCTTAACATGGACATTCCTCAACTTGTCGCCGCCATTGGGCTCTGGTCCGAAAACTTCCTCTACGGCAACCCTGGCTGCCGCCGAGATAATTCCTGCCTGCCGGATTCCTCCGCCAATTGATTTGCGGAACCATCGCGCCTTGTCAATAAAACGGGTTGGTCCCACAAGAATGCTACCAATCGGCGCACCTAAGCCTTTTGAGAAACAAAGGCTCACACTGTCAAAGAGGCTGGTGTACTCGACCAGCGTCCCAGCTCCTGACACAACCGCATCCCAGAGCCTTGCTCCGTCAAGGTGGACTTTCATACCATGAGCATGGGCCCATTCGACAATCCGCCGAGTCTCTCCGAGGGGCATGACAAGCCCATGGATGGTGTTTTCCAAACTGATAAGCCTAGTCGGACAGCGATGGATATTATCTCCCAAGATAGCATGCTCCTGGATCTCTTCCAGGGTAATGTACATGCCATTCCTAGGTTTAATTCCATAGACAGTTGCCCCGGTCCAGGCACTGACCCCTCCAGCTTCCGATCGAAGAATATGCGCTCGATCATCGCAAAGGACCGAATACGGGGCTTCGGTCAAGTGGCTTCGAATAGCCACTTGGTTGCCCATGGTCCCGGACATCACCAATAGCGCACTTTCATGGCCCGTGCGCCCGGCGATATACTCTTGAAGCGAGTTGGTTGTGATGTCTTCGCGGAAAACATCGTCGGATAGCGTCGATTGGGCAATCGCGTTCAGCATGAGCAACGTCGGCTTGGTGATTGTGTCACCTATAGATCTCGGTTAGATGCGAGTGCCCTGCAGCGCTCATGTGGCTGTCCGACGCTCACTTCTAAGATCAAACTCCGCCGTTCCTGATCCCTGCCAGTGATTTGAGTCAGTCTTAGTTCGAATGGGTGACATTTCAGTTTTGTAGGTTGGTTGAATGAAGGATGCTCGATAGATTCAGGTCGACAGATGAGATCCAGTTGGGTATATATATCAGGAGAATGCAGTGACTAAGGGAACGAAGACTGAGGTCGTCGAATCAAGGGCTGTGAGCTGTCGGATGCATCGGTCCTTTCCCGACCTAATAACCTTAGGCCAGCCCATTCTGCCGGCGAGATCAAGACTCGCCGACCGTTCTGCAGCAAGCACTCGCATAATGTGATCCTCGTTGCACCTGATACCGATCTGCCTTGATAAGGGTCTCTATACTGATATGGGCCAGAACCAACGATTTGAGGACTGCTCGCTATGGGATATCTACCTGTGAGTCTTCTCATAGCAAGAATCATTATGCGATCGAGACTACTCAAGTCGATTCACAGGGATTTCCATTATTCTCCTGGACTTGTCTTCCTGCAGCTTAACGGCAATAACGTGATAGCTGCTGACTCAGCACCCCGCCGACAAGCCCCAACGGCCAGACACCGCCGATTGGTTGATTTGCGGGCGGTGAGACATAAGCTCCGAATCGGCGTGGGCGGGGACCAATAGGCGGCGATGCTGATAACCTCAGGCTCCCAGGCTCTCGTCGGTGACTTTTTTTTTTCTTTCTAGAATATCATCCTTACTTTTTTTTTTATCGCTCATCTGATGATTATGTCTCGTACACTGTGATTAACCCTTTCTTAAATTGATCGCATTTCTGCTCTCATCAAACCCTTGTTCCAATAACCACATCCTTCCAGCCTTCCGTCTCGAATTCCCATTTCCTCTCTTCTTTCTACGCCCCCACCATGGGTTCTGGATCCCCTCCCCCCACGGGCCCCAAGCCGAAATCTGCGATTCCCTCCCGTCTGTTGAACGGCAGATCTCCTCTTCAACCTTCTCTTCGTTCCCGGGATGCTCGCGAGCGTGAAAGCCTGAATTCCTCCATCATGTCCTCTTTTGCCCCTCGCGTCCCGGTTGAGTTTGACTCGCCCGAGTCCAGCGCAACGCATCCCGGTGGTGAGTCAGCGGACCGTTCTGATGCCCGGGTCGGCAGACCGGCTGCGGCGAAGTAAGCTGTTCCTGCGCGAATGCTCTTGAATGAACCATGTGCTGACCTGGAGGGAATAGCAGAGCGGTCCTGAACGATCCTGCTCGCGACCCTAGAGACGAAGCCGGTCCGTTGTCCCCGCCTGTCGCGAGCCGTCCGGACAGCCCTTACACGCAATTCCCTCCGATTGATTTCGACGGACTGAGCTGGCCTTGTAAGTGACTGATGGTCGATCCAACCCACGGCGGTTGCTGTTCCCCTTGTCTAATTCGGCGTTTTCCGAACAGGCCCCGGCACGAGAGCGCGGTTGGAGTCTACCCCGGAACAAGAGGAAGAACGAGTTCGGAAACTGGCAGGTGCCGTGAAGACAATCCTGGAATGCGTGGGAGAGGACCCCGACAGAGAGGGGTTGCGCGAAACCCCCGAAAGATATGCCAAGGCGATGCTGTTCTTCACTAAAGGTTACGAAGAGAATGTGCGAGACCTTGTGAACGGCGCTGTGTTCCATGAGGACCACGACGAGTTGGTTATCGTCAAGGATATCGAAGTCTTCTCCCTATGTGAACACCACATGGTCCCGTTTACCGGAAAGGTAAGAACAATCCCGCCGGAATTCGGGAATGTCTCATTAATCACATTTCTGGGCAGATGCATATCGGTTATATCCCTGATCGTCGGGTGCTGGGGCTCTCCAAGCTGGCTCGCCTCGCAGAGATGTTCTCGCGACGACTTCAGGTGCAAGAGCGACTGACAAAACAGGTCGCTCTGGCCATCTCGGAGGTCCTCAAGCCGCTTGGTGTCGGTGTTGTGATGGAATCGTCGCATCTCTGCATGGTGATGCGTGGTGTCCAGAAGACGAGCAGTACAACCACCACAAGCTGCATGCTTGGATGCATGCGGTCGAGCGCAAAGACTCGCGAAGAGTTTTTGACTCTCCTTCACCGGAGATAAATCTTCTGCGCTTCACTCTGTCTGCGATAAAACACTTGTTACCCCGTTTTAACATTGGTTGGTATTAATGAGTTTCACGGAGTTCTGGCGGTTCACCTTTCAACAGGTTTCTTGGGTTTGGCATTTTGTTTCATCTTACGCCATGTGCTTGGAATATTTTTTTGTCGGTCTTGTTTACTACGCATCTTCTTATTCTTATATTTAAAGACTCCCCATACAGAGCTCTGATTTTGCATGACACTTTTGGTTGGGGGGCCTTGATCCCCTATCTTTGGAATGACGACGATCAATAGAATTCTTCAACAACTATATCACGGGTGATTCAACACCTGATTACCCAGCATGACCTTGTGGCCAACCTTGGTTCTTAAGTCTAATTCTCTTTAACTAGAAAGACATTGTTATAGCTGGACAATTAGACCACCAATTCAACTTTTTGGCACGCAGATTGACTTGGGTCAGTAGTCTGTCAAGACGAAGAAGAAAAAGAAAAGACAAGACAAGTGAAAAGCAAACCGTAGATAGCCTGGAGACCCCAATGGTGAGTGGCCATCGCCATGCTCACCAGCAAATCATGGGGCACCTGACCTACTACTGGGACAACAATATGTTTGTGATAACAACAATGCAACCAGAAGGGGGATTCCTGCTAGTGCTTGTCGACTTCACCAATGACATAAGTGTCCATACTGCCTGCTACCTGCTACCTACTCCCACCCAGACTTCTTCCAGACTCAAAAGGACTTCTCCAGGAATTTCTTTCACCCTCCTCCTATAAATAAGTGTTACTTCTCTTTCAACCACGACACTCCCACACCCACTCACCTCTCTACCCAAACACCACCAACTCTTACCTTTGACTTGCAGCCATTTGGCCTTCAGTCAACTCACCTGCTCAGCTGTCCTCGTACGAATATCTTCTCTTACGTACGAGAATCGCGAAGGATCCTCTTTCTCACCTCTCTTTCCACCTCTCAACTGCATCTCCCAGGTACGATTATTTTTCCCACTGCCGTGTTGAATTCCCACCATGGCTCCTGTCAAGAATAACAAGGGGAAGGCTCAGGTTACGGACGGTCCAGCTTCACGTACCAGGGCAGCGGTCGCCAGAAACCAGAACCAGGCCCAGGCAGCAGAAGCGTTGCCTTCACCGACACGAACGTCGTCCAGGTTGCGGTCACCCAGAACCGCTCCCAACGCCAACGCTCCAGCGTCGCCTCCACGAGTGCGAAGACGTCAGAATCTTTCTGCAGCAGCCTCTGCACAAGCGCGAGGACCTCAGCGTCGTTTGGCAAGAGTCCAGGCACCCAGACCGATCAGGTTAGTTTTGACATCCCCCAAAGGTGGACCGGAGAGATCTGCTAATTCTGCAACAGCAGATCCGGAAGAAGCTCCTTCAACACCACCGCGACCCTCGACAGCAGTCTCTCAAGACATACCAACGAGTCAACGGCTTATCTTGAGAAAGCCAAAGCTTCCAGTTGCTGGACCTGAGAAGAACAGACCAGGTATAAACCAGGAGAGACTTAGGGAACTCCGGGCTTGGTTAAATTTAATCACGTTGCCGAACCCGGACCCGGGGTTTGCAGAAGTTCAGCATCAATTGGAGTCACTCTTTGAAGCTCTTACTGAGTTCCGGCAGTCCCGAGAAGAACTGCAAGAGGTTTACGAAGACCTAAAGCAGCTAGGCGAGGAAGTGCTTGCTGCTACAGGAACGGCGACCCGATCACCATCCGTGGACATCCCCAGAGTTAGAACTCTGAGACGAACCACTGAGAGAATCAGAGCTCAAAGAGCGGTGGTTCAAGGTACGCCAAAGAAAAAGACACCAAGGTCTCGGGTGAGAAAGACACCCTCTCCGAAGAAGAAAAAGACTTCGCCTACAAGAAGACAGGCAATGGCAGAGGCTGAACAGGAACAGGACACAATGACTCGCAACCGTGTCGAGGACGAGAGTAACGCCATCGAGTCCCTAATCCAGCTCTCTCAGAATGCTCCCATCGTCTTCGAGAGAAACCGGGAAGATGACAGCAATTCCAACGACCATGAACCCCCCGGATCTCAGCCATGGACCCAACCTGGGCCCGTTCAAGATATGTCAGCTGATCCGAACCATGGCACCGTTCAATTGCAGGCATATCTGTATCGACAGCAGAGGCTGGTGGGTATTCCTCCGGAGCGAATGATCTCAATGTCAGGAGAAATGGGTGCTCATGTTCGAGGAAAGAGTTCTGGGCAGGTAACACCCCAAGGACCCGTCAACAGGCCCGAGAATCCAAGCGTGGTGCAGTTCTCTTCCGAAGGTGGAGTAGTGGCGCCAGTAATTCCCCCTGCGCAGTATCAATGTGAGCTACCCTTTCTAATCTTCACACCTGACCTCCCGGCTAATGAGCAATCAGCGGCGGATAACTTGGATATGCTCGAAGAGATCTATGGCCCAGGCGGAAGTCCAGATAGACAAGAAGAACGTGCAATACCCGTGGGTGACTCCCTGGACGAATCCATAGACCATCAAACCTGGCTTGCTAACAACGACCAGGCACAGACTACAGAGGGAAATCTGGTTTCATCTCCAGAGGATCCAGGAACTCCCGGAGCTATGGGACTGCAGTCTTTGGATAACATGGAGGCCGAACAGGGAGAGAGCTTGGATGAACCGATGGTAAGCGAAACCGAAGACAATGTGCTAGACAGGATGCTTAGTTTCATGGAACCAGAAGGAGACTGGACCTGTTCAGAACCAGCACCGCAATTCAACGCGAACTCAACGGATTCTACCCAATACAGCCCGTGATTCACCACATCGTCGATCGTCGAACACCGCTAGGGCTGCTCGTGCCCCCCGGAACCGCCCACCGAAACCAACCTACAACCACGCCCACAATGGGTTTGATATTCTGGGAGCTTTATCCAACAATCTGGAGATCGCTTTTCTGCTCACAGAATACCTAGAGCCTACTGATTTGTTTAATCTGTACGCATGCTCAAAAGATTGGAACGGCCTCATCACATCAACCCTTGAAGCCATAATCCTTAAACAAGCAATCCAGCACGCACCCGAATCCGCTCGCGCATTTCCCTTTCGTTGTTATCCCCACCTGCGTAAACTGAATCCCGGATCCAAGAATGAACTGGTGCCCAGTTTCCCCTGGCTATTCATGATCACGGACCGCGAACGCATCGTCCAATCAATCATGCAATGGATGAGACGGACAAGCTATGCAGTCCCGGCAGGGAGTGGCATCGCGATCAAAAAGCTCTGGTTCCTCATGGATATCCCCGACACGAAGCGGCGAAAATGGACTATACGAACCTGGAGTGACATGGATCTGTTCTTGGCCGGTCTCTTCATGATGCAGATCGACTCGGCGCTTCAGGACGAAGATGAAGCAGGAAGCGGGCTCGGCGCGATGCGGCGTCTCCTGATGGCCCAAAAGAGCCTATCGGTCCTGTGGGATGTGTTGAGCGGCGAGACCTGGCAGTCCGAGCTCGAACTCGTCCAGTCATACATTCGCTGGCGGTACGAGCCTCGTCCTCACGAGCGTGACATGCAAAATATCCTGGGCGTTCCAATTGAAGAGGTCGGGCTGCTCCAGTATGAAGCGTACGGTCGACACGGGCGAACTGCCAAAGTGCGCCGGCCTGATACAATCGTCATCAGCGAATTGAAGAACCGAGAGCTTGATATACGGAAGATGTATTGGGAAGCCCTCGCGTTGGATGAAGAGGAGCCACACATGGGTGATGACCGCCCCAGATGGGACATGGCCTTGAAGGATGCAATTGAGGGTACTGGGATTGATTGGCTCAATGCCGTCAACTTGAATCGCCCGAAGATTTGTTGATTTATTGTATCTAGCGACTTATGTCCCAAGCTAGTAATGGAGATGCAGGGTTGAATGCAAATCTAGCCGATTGTCCTTAAGGAACAAGCGAAGCCTACCCCGAAGCCGCAAGCAAGAAAAGCAAAAGGGCCCATGAATGCACCAAGTTCCACAGAGAAAAATTCTAAGAAAATATTCAAGAATAAACCATCAAATCAATAGATAACAAAGCATTATCGGTATCTTTTTCCGCCTTAGGAATGGCCTGATAATAGATTATTGCCATGGTTAGTACTTTATAGCAGGGAACCGACGTTTCAAGCTATTCTAATTTGATTATTCGTAGTCCTCTAACACGCTCCAATGTCTGATTTATCCTCCTATCAATGCCAACTGTTGAAGGAGGAAGAAACTCGCAAAGTTACGCAATGTATCATCATTAGTCATTATTTAGTATTAATCTTCGGTGGCATTGAATATGGCGAAAAGCAACTAGGCATAGATGCAGTATATATAACATAGTATGTAGTGTGGCAAACGTTGAGTTCGGAAAAATTATTGTTTACGGATGATTGAAGGTTGATTTAGAGCTGACGGAACCAAGCGTCCCCCAAAAGTGCCCGTGCAGTTGGCCTATCTCTCGGGTCGAGTTTCATTACACATCAGAGCTGCGATTCTGTCCTGGTCGGCGAGCTCCTCATAAGATTTGGGAAATGGCCCAAAGCATCGATGATGTTTCATGAGAATCTTTACTTCATACTCGTCGTCACCTGCTGGAATGTCTGGTTTAAAAATGTGGAACCCTTCCCCATACATCATGCTTATGAGCTAGAATGCAAAGTAAGGCATTAGTCCTCAGAAACAGGGCGGTTTGAGGTGATACCGACTTGCCATTGCGCCGAAAGACCAAATGTCCGTTGCAGGACCCCACTTAATCTGTAACTGAGCTTCAGGGTTCCTGAAAATAGGCGTCCCGATGGAATCCCTATTTTGGGCGTATGGAGAGTCCATATGAACGGTACTTCCAAAGTCTGCAAGCTGAACATCACTAAATCGGACTTCACTCTGCCGATAGTTCACTAGGACATTGCTTGGTTTAATGTCTATAGTCCTTAGTCCTTGGTTTCAGCCATTTGAAGTTGAAGCTCTGGAGGTATAGGCTCAAGGCACGTACCGGTGTGAACGTAACCATCTGCATGCAAAACAGCTGACGCTTCCAATATTCCTTTCGCGACATATCTAACTTCTAGTCGCGTGAGTCTTTTGCTGTTTGATGCATTCGAAAGATCATCATCAAGATGTCTTAGGATGAGAGCCGGCGGTCCTGGAGGGTCCTCGATTTAATCAAGAAGCGGGTGGAGGTGCGGAGACAGGCCTTGGAAACGAAGAAGAACGTTTCTTCCATTCTGTAGGCGAAAGTGTCGAACGCTCTTGACAACAAAGGTCTCCTTATTTTGGGTTCTGTATGGCTTCAAGCGTTAGAAACGGGTAAGATGTAGGAACCTTGGAGCGTTACTACATTGCTAGCCAAACACTCTCTTGTATTTGCTTTGTTATTGTATAGAGTCCTTTTTTGCCCTTCAGTTGAAGGCCTTATGCTACTGCGCTGACTACCATTGTTGTACGGTCATGTCGTGGACTTTTGTTCAGGCAATCTGAGGTGATCATCTCCCCAGGTTGGCCACACCGACCTGTTGGACCCAGCCCTCCAATAAACATAGTTGTGCCTCAGGTGTCAAATTCCGAGATGCTGTCACGTGTCTTGAAAGTGCCCCCATGGCGGCGTGTACAGAGAAATAAATAGATATTTTCTGTTCGACAATATTGGTTAGCCCCAGAATCGCAAGATAGGATGACGGAGCATTTTCCCCGCGAGGCTGGCGGATAGCTGCAACATTGGCTCCTGGACTCACATACATACATCATTGACTGGTTGTGTGATCCAAGCCCCAGTTGCCTGCTAGGTAAACGTAGATGTTGATCCTTTCATTTCTCCCCATCTCTCCTTGTCTCTCTAATGAGTGGTTCTAGTTTTTTTTTTTTTTTTTTTTGTTTCTCAAATGATGCGTATGTATATGACTGTTAAAGGTCTTCAGGCGCAGAGGCAACTGCTTGACCAGTAATTAGCTAAACTTAATAAAATGTAGGAGGTTAAAGTTTTAGTGTTTGACCCTTTGGACAGCTCTAGACTGTGGGCCCTTGATAAGTGGGTGAGGAGACGTTGAATCTCAGCCTGTCTTATTCTAAGCTCTGTTTCCAATGACAGCACAGTGGCGCGATTGAGCTTCATTCAAGCCACTTGATTTCCGCGATCAGGGGGAAATGGGCCATGTACTTCGGTATGCAGTACCTCATACACGGGGAAGTCCCACATTTTCCATTGCGATCAAAAGGGGCCCCAATAATTGGATAAAAATCCAAGCATCTCCGAACGGACAGGATTTTGTAGGGTAAATTTCGAGGGGCAATGGGGCTGACAGATGGGGAGCACTAGGCTACTGATGGCCGGTTCGGGGGGCTTGGTCTACCTCTATAACAAGACGTCGTGGGTGAACCCCTCCTCCCCAATTGGGTATACAACCGGAGGAAGAGGATCTTAGTATACGTTGTCTAGTGCTCGGAGGGGCTTAGGGGTGGGGTAAGGCATCGTTCTAAAGTATACCTTCCCTCGCCTGTCTCTATATCGAGTAATATAGACTTTGTAGAGGATCTGGCCGCTCTCTCTGACCTGCGCTCGACGGCAATACACCTGATACTTTCGGCTTATAGGGTAGGGTAGGATCGAATGATAGGCTTATATGGCCCTGTATACGGATGATACCGCATCGTGTACCTAGTTTGAGTCCGGCATAGCATGCTCGTAGTGTTTAAGCTGCTGAAGTGATTTTAATTGATCCCTACTACTACTACTACTACTACTACTACTACTACTACTACTACAACAACAACAACAACAACAACCTGTGCTTTCAACGAGGGGAGCCCAGTGATATCTCACCACTGTCTGCGGCAATACTGCTAACAGCCAACCTTTAGGCTGGTCTGGCCCGGTGTCCCTCCAATTATCGCATCGGCGGTTCTCGTTCGTTTCGACAAATGGCTCACAGAGCACTCGGCTAGCATGCTGAGGGGGTCGCCGTCTGAGTCTATCAACCACAATCGTACATTTTCCTTGAAAAGACGGTATAAAAGTTGTACAGCGGATAAGACATGTATGTGCAACAAACAGAGTACTCAGTGATTGGGTACAGTTAATTCAAAATGTCGAATCTCCAATCCCTACCCCCGCGTATCGCCAACGAACACCTCCTTTCACATACACATTTTGGGATCTAATATCAATCAATGACTTATTTAGCTCACCAAATTCCAGTCCCAGGTTTCTCTAGATCTGCTATCAATTCAAACCCGCTCAGAAGTGAGTCCTCCAATTCTCGCCTGAGTTACACTATTTTGTTCTCAAGCTACTTCAGCCCTGAAATCCGCCTGTCCTCCCTTGTATAGTCGCCTTAAATCCCCAAAACTATCCATTGTTCGAAAATACTTCGATAGCTGTTTTTGACCCTCAACATGCCGACAACTTCTAAATTACATGTTGCCATCTACGGCAATAGCGGCATGTTCAACCACTGGAGCCTCTTTGTCGAAGGGCCCACAGAGCCCCAAAAAATGATCTTCCACGTCATGGGCACTACAAAGATGTACCGCTACGAAAAGCGAATCTCGAACGCTCGTAATTCGGCGACCCTCGTTGAGCTGATGTACCTTTGTGATGTGGATAATTCCAAATTACAAACTATCGAGGACGCTGCCAAAGATATTACCCTTCACAACGAACGTGAAAATTATTGCTGGGAATGCCTCCAGGCACCCTCGCCTCCATGTCCCGATTAGGCTTAATGCATCCCAAAATGCCTATAGCTGAGCGCTGCAGGCCTAGATAGGAATACACACCTTCGCGCATCTATTCCTGCTCAAGAATTATAACTGCCAAGACTACGTCCTTGACCTCTTGGAGAGCTTAGAAAAAAAGGATGTCCTTGATCCAAACGATCCAAAGTACAATGAGAACAAGGCGGCAGTTATGGACAAGGAGGAAGGCATGACTTAGCTGGCAGGACTGGTCGGGTTCCTCATCCGCTATTGAAATCTGTGGGATTTTGTCATTTAACTTGCTCTTCTTCTGAAGCAAGTGAAGAAGTAACTCATGCTTATTTACGGAGTGACTCGATAATTCCTCACGTCGTCTATTTGCATTTAGTTTCCAGCTGGTGCTATGATATCATGCATAATTTCCAAATATCCTTTCGTTTCAAGCAACATATGTCTGCCCAGCGGACTGCGCATAGATAGGCGTGCATAATAGTTGGTATGGGTGTACTTGGCACGGCGCAGCTGCGGAGCTGAGGTCGATAAAAGTGGGTTGACCTGGATCGACACGACTAGTGAGTGGGGCCTGGGGGAAATCTGCCTGTCCGGACCGGCGGCCTACCTATACTTTAACCAACGACCAACCTAAATACCTCAAGTTGAATTTTAAGTAAAAGATAAATCCTGGATTTAATAACGAAGGGTCAGTAGAGCTACATAGAAAAAAAGGGTATTTTAGAAACAGACTATATACTATTTCAAGAATTCTGCCAGAATTGATATCGACCGTCTTTCGAAGCAGGTAGGTAGCTGGCTGTCCGTATGGGCAGATTTGGGCTCTTAGTTACCTGTATTGGCCTTGACAAAGCTCATTTGGGATTGCCCAAAACTCTGGGAGAGTCCTATCAGAGGCGTGGTGGTTAAGTGCAGCGAGAATATTGTCGCCAAAGTCATAACAGGAAACAGCGATTATACCAACTACACTAGTGAAGCAGGCGCCTGATATCCCTGCTCCGAGACCTCACGGACATAGCGTTCAGTCCCTTTCGCGTCATAATCATGACATATATTTCCGACAAAACTTTGGCTCAAGCATGGCCTAGCCTATCTCACGACAATAAGGTCTCCATACAACACCAGCTGGATGGTATCTTCCGCCGTTTAAGGACAATCCGACAGGATGACGGTCTTCCGCTCGGTGGGGTTGGTGGAGAGGGAGTCCACGAGCTTCGCGTCGACGAATGCGCCTCGTTTAAAGGTATCACGACCGCGAACGAGTACAATAACCTGCAGTTTTCCGCTCGTCACCATGGTAGCTCTACTTATGTTAGTCTTCTTCGCTCGTTTCTGGAACATGACTCTTCTTCAATAATCGGGCACGGATCAGTGTTCACCCATGGCAATATCAGGACTGCCAATATCATGGTGAAACAAGACCCTAGTTCCATCGATCAATGGTATGTTGTTTCTGGGGTCATTGACTGGGAGGATAGTGGTTTTTATCCACTTTATTATGAGTGTACCGCGTTGACACGGACCCTGAGTCTGGTGAATGAAAATGACTGGTATCTTTATCTGGCAGAGAGTGTTTCACCGTTAAAGCATCCTGTGTGTTGGCTGGTCGATCGGCTTTGGGGAATACATCTATGGACCACATAAGTTACCAAGTCTTAAAGAGATTGCATTTTATTTCAGAAACTTTGAAAATAGTACCTTAGCTTAGTGCTGTAATCTGAGCAGAAATTATCGGGAGTTATCGTACACTGGGACACAGTAGATTAGGATAGTTACCTACCTAGATCTCCTGGTGTGGACATAGTTACACTAAAGAGCAGCTTGTCAATGGTTGGCACTGCTATACATGTGATGAATGTGCACAAATTCTAGACTATCTGTGATCGAGATCAGCCCATTCCTTCTGTTCAATGATGTAGCTATGGAGTTGTAAGGCCGAGATGGACCTTGATTGTTACTTCAGACATGGGTTAACCATGTTTGGCCTGAGGCATTCACGGCTGACTGGAATCACGTGCCAGAAGTGCCTTGTTGAGGCGGCCGGCGACCTTCAACTCGTCTTCCTTCGCCAACCAGCCCACCGACACAGAAGATACCTATGGAGGGTCTCTGCTTCCTGGGCGCTGACTTCCACTAAAATGTGATGATGGCTGGATTATACTTCTATAGTCTGTTAAAGATTCCTGGCTTGCGCCCGCCCCATGTCAACACCACTGTCGTGACAGATCGCCGAGTTGGATTCCCGACTTCCTAGCTAATCCGCATCCATCCCCACCATCTACGTACACGTCATGGACCATCACTTTACTGTTCCATAATCTACAGGTTTCTGGCAGAGAATGATGCTGGACATACATTCAGCCACTACTACGTTGTTGATGATTACCCCAAATTGTTGACCCCTCTCCCTCCCGCAACTAATGGATGGCCTTGCGGTGTGACCGTTGCGCCCGATCCGGCAAATTGTCACCTTGCTCTCGTCAGGTACGTCCGCCACGGGATCTACTGTTCTGGAGTCTTCTGGATTATAATTTATGGATGACTGCGAGGCGTATCAGGATGGTGGTATGCAGCTACAACAGTCTGGATCGTCGGTCTATAGCTTGCGAATATTGGTAGATGCCAGAGCTGTTTTCTCTGCAGGCTTATCAGTTCCCCCTACCCGGCCGGGTCTTGCTTCCACTTGCCAGATGAGGGTCGCTTTCCACATTTCCATCATATCGCCTTTGTTGCCAACTCGTGGGTATTGACTTTACTTTATCTCTCCCCCCTGTTGTTTGAAGTAAATGCAGCCTTCGTCGTTCATAGTCCCTGCATATCTTTCATGCCGGACAAGACAGTTGTTTGTGCCATTGGCGGCAACACCACAAGGAACCAATGTTGCTTCCGATCTTTCAGGGGCCTCAGCAAGCGACAGAATAAGGCTGTACGAATTACTCCGTACGTTGACACCTAATTCGATTGGCCTTGATATGCATCCACACATACAGTGCGACTGGATTCGACTCGTGATTGTCCTGATCATCGTTTTGCGACCGTGGATTAATTTCGCCGCTTAAAGTCAAGCTACTACTCCAACGGCGACTCGTGGGAAGCTGAGATTGGTACAGCCTCGGCACTGACCGCCGGATTTCATTCAGCGTTCCTTGACGATTCCATCGCGAGCGTTTATTGCTTCCCGTAGATTAGGTCTTTTGTGTTCTGTGTTTATTATTTTTGGTTTCTCTGGAAGGATCTCCAACGACAGAGACGACCCGGAGGCAAGGGGCGTCAAAAGGCGGGGATGAAGCATGAACAGCGAGCCAAGAGGAATCCTTGCACCTCAACCTGCCTTAACGTCACTGCATCTCTTCCGAGATTGAGACAGAAAAGCAGGGAAGAGTGAAAGCAGCAGCTTTAATGAACGCCAGAAAAGAGAAAACGGCTCGTCCGAGCCCAACCAGCCCGGCTAGCATAGGCGATGAAGCCAAGGCCGACACCATGAACCCAGCAGAGGGGCAGAAAAAAGAAACAAAAAACGAAAAAGAGAAGGGCTGTGGTACTATGCGTGCTCACATATTGATGCCACGCTGGACGAGGATGAATAGTGATTCTCCTTGGAAAGGAGGGCAATAACGGTGGTCTCCATCGCCGGGCGCCCTCCAGGCCATTCGTAGTAGAGCCGCACTGACAGCGCGGGTGAAGGGCCAAATCAATAGGCCTCCGTCGATTATCTCGCCAGCTCCTTTGCTTGTTGCTGGTCCTGGGCGATCCAGTTCCAAGTGGGAGTCGCCCGCCACTGACTGGTTATTATTCACGGGGCTCTTATTGCCTGCCTTCCGCTTCCCCCTCCTTCAGTGTAGTTCCTCGGTCGCCATTTCACCGTGCGGGTAGGTAACGGCCACTTAGTATGCCTTAAAAACGAGGGGAAAAAGAAAAGAGAAAAAGAAAAGAAAAGAAAAAGGAAAAAGGAAAACGGAAAAAGGAAGAAGGAAGAAGGAAGAAGGAAGAAGGAAGAAGGAAGAAATAGAGCAACACAACCTACGATCAGGTTCTCGAGGTGCGTCTTTACCCTCTCTCCCCTTCAAAAGAAAAATGCTCTTGTCTTCTCCTGTTTCCTTTCGTTTTCTTTCCTTCTTTCTTTTGGTTCTTGTCTTGTCCCCGTGAGGTTAACGCTCGACCCTTCTTTCTCTCCCATCTAGATTCAACGCATGCCGGAAAAACCAGGCTTCCGCTCCACCCAGTCGCCCTCCCGCCAGAAAGACTTCTGAGCAAGAGAACGCGGCGATACACGCTCTCGCCGACTAAGCCCGGACGATAGGCTCCACCACAGTTTCCCTCGACTACCCTTTCATGCGCATCCTTCCGTTCTCGAGTGGACCAGTTCTTCTGATCCCCCGGGACCTTTTTCCTTTTCCTTTATTGAAAACCTGATGCAGTTGAATCGGTTTACATGGCTGGGTCCCGTAGGAGTCCGGTGTTGAGAGAGCAGTGGAGAACCACCGGCGACACTAGAGACCAGAGAGATCGGGAACGGCACAGACCTCGAGGTTCACACCGCGACAGGGGAGGAAAGCACGGGAATCGTGACAGAGACCGCCGTCGTCGACCACCCAAGGACGGTAGACCAGGTCTTCCATTTCGGTCGCCGCCACCGCGCTCGTTTCCTCACCCCGACGACGACGAGCGTCGCCCCCCTCGTGATTTTTCTCCTGGTGCCGCCTCCGCTCGTGGCTCCCCTGGTCCCTCTCAGTCCGAAATAAAACACGGCCAGAAACCATCTTTTCACCGTTCGCCTCGCCAGGGAGAGCCTTCAGATCTGGATCACATCCGCCCTCGGGAGGCCGAGAGACCGACCGAAAGAGATTATCGACGAGACGACTCGCCCTCGGCACCGCCTCCAAAACGCAAGAGAACTCGAAGCCCATCTCCAGGTGGCCCTCCTCGCCACCCCAGCCATCCGTCGCATCGCTATCCCGGTGACGACTTTGACCGAGGGTTCCCGTTCAAGAAGCGTGGACGTTTCCCGGGTCGTGGTAGATCCGGTCGAAGATCTCCACGACGGGGTAGAGAGCGGCGTAAAAACGAAGGTGGGCGACGGCCCTCCTCCCCTCGTCCCAGGCGCTCCAAGTCCCCCATTCGTGGCGGCAAGTCTTTCAACCCCCGACGGCGTTTCCATAGCCCTCGTCCTGAAGACGACATTGAGGAAGGGTCTCGCTATCGATCCGTATCGCGCCATTCCGTTCAGTCCGGCGATTCGAGGTTTTCTTACGGTTCTCGACGCGACTCTATCACCATGAATCCAGGCAGACCGGCCCGTTCGATGACGGACGACTCTTTCCGGTCTCCTTCCCCATCTCGCCCGGTCCCAAGCTTTAATGCGGATTATGCTCCTGCTCCTGCGGACGGCGATGCGTTGCGTGAATCGCACGGAAGGCGGCCATCAGATGCACAGGGCGGCCAGCATTCCCGCCCACCCAGGCCACATGCTGACTCGAGACAATACTCGGCGTCGCCGCAGTATGTGACGCCTACTAATTCATATCACGGCTCTCCCCAGCCTAAATCCCCATATTCTACCGGTCGGGGTGGCTGGAATGGCCCGCAGCGTTCATACCATGGGCAGTCGGGGTAAGATTTTTACTTGTCTCCTTCTTACTTCTCTTTCTCTAAAGTCAAAGTCCTGTCTTTCTAGACGATGCTAATCTTTCGCACACATAGTCATACGTCACCATATAGATACGCCCCAACCGGACCCCAAAGCCAGTATCATCAAAATTCCAACTCGTACAATTCCGGCCCGTCCTACCGTGGAGGATATCGTGGTAACCACCACAACCACGGAGGCGACCGTCGATTCTCCGGCGCTGGTCATTCAAATTACGGCAACGGTCCTTCCCCACGAGGCCGGGGCCATTTCGGGAGCTTTTCACGAGGCGGTTCAAATGCTCGGGGTCGAGGATCCTCTCATAGCCCTCGTGCGGCATATGGCCCGCCATCACAAAGCCCCCCCCCTCCCCCGCCCTCAGATGGTCAAACCCCTCGGGACACGAACGAGACCGGTAATGTAATTGAACCGCCAAGAAACGATACGCAGCCAGAAAATGAAAACTTGAACAATGTTTCCGAGACCGGTGCTCTGCAGCCGCAACCCCCCAGTACACATCTTACGGACACTACAACGCCGAGCAAAGGAGGCAAAATCAGCTTTGCGTTCAAAGCAAAGACTACACAGGCACCGGCTCCCAAACCAGTCCCTGACCTAGCTCAGAGAATGCTGGCACGGGAGCCCCCCCCTCGAGCTGCCGACCCACCACCGCCTCGCAATCGAATGTCCGCTGCTCCTCCGCCGAAGTTCAAGCCGGAATCGAGATTTGATCGTCGTGATCGGGACCGGGACCGCCATCGCGAAAGAGACCGAGATCGGGGTAGGCCCGATCGACGAGATTATCGCGAACCTCGCGGTTTCCGTGAACCTCGAGATGGACGTGACAACCGGAGAGAAGATCGGCGTTTCGATAATCGTAACGAGCGGAGGCGAGGTGACCGACGACAGGACTTCCGCCCCGAACGTCGACGAGAACGTACCCCCGAACCGAAGAAGCAAACCAAAATCATGACTCGAGTGAAGCCTCGTCCTAATCTGCCGGAAGAATTCGCTAAATCCGATTCAGTCTATTACCGAAAGCCAGGTAATGAGTCTGTCATCGGTGCTGGTACTTACGGAAAGGTCTTCAAGGCTATCCATGTCTATACTCAGAACAAGGTGGCCCTGAAAAAGATTCGAATGGAGGGCGAAAAGGACGGCTTCCCTGTCACCGCCGTTCGGGAGATCAAATTACTTCAACACCTACGCAATTATAATGTGGTCAGTTTGCTGGAGGTGATGGTAGAGCGGAATGAATGCTTCATGGTGTTCGAATACCTTTCTCATGATCTTACCGGACTTATCAACCACCCAACCTTTACACTTACCCCCAGTCACAAGAAGGACCTTGCGAAACAGATGTTCGAGGGATTGAACTATCTCCACCACCGTGGCGTTTTACATCGTGACATCAAGGCTGCCAACATTCTCATCAGTAATCGAGGACTGTTGAAGTATGCCGACTTTGGTCTCGCTAGATTCTTCTCGAAGAGCCGCCAGTTGGATTACACGAATCGTGTCATCACCATCTGGTACCGGCCGCCTGAACTTCTGTTAGGTGAAACTAGATACGGGCCGGCGGTCGATGTCTGGAGTGCAGCCTGTGTCTACGTGGAAATGTTTACGAAGAAGGCGGTTTTCCCCGGAGAAGGAGGTGAAATCAGTCAACTCGAAAAGCTGTACAATTCGTTGGGAACCCCGACGCGGGTCGAGTGGCCGGACATAGCTGAGATGCCTTGGTTTGAACTGATGCGGCCGACGGAGCGCAAAAAGCGCGTCTTCGAAGAGGTATATGGTTCGATCCTGTCCCCGGCGGCTCTCGACTTGGTGTCTCAGGTTTTCCGTTATGATCCTGCCAAGCGACCAACGGCGGAGGAGATCTTGAAACACCCTTACTTTGTCTCCGAGGAGCCCGCCCCGCAGCAGGCCATTGAGTGAGTCTTTCCTGTTTCTGTCCACTTCAAGTCCATTTGACATCATTATCTGACCACTCTCTTAGCCTGGAAAACATCGAAGGTGACTGGCATGAATTCGAATCGAAAGCCTTGCGCAAAGAGAAAGACCGAGAGGCTCGTCGTGCTGAGTACCAGAAAGACAAGGAGAAACGGAAAGGCGCCCCTTCGGTCCCTCAAAGCGAACGAGATCCGAAGCGCGTCAAGTCCGATGCCGCCGAGCTATGATATCTCCGTAACCGAATCTCGATCGACTATCCATGTCATTATCTCATATCTTTGGATTTTATCTACAGCATATATCGTTCCTATCGGGGCTCCATTGCTACCCTAGGAGATGCATGACCGATCTCATGGGAGCCTCGCAATTTGCCGGTTCTACAATCGAATAGGCACATGACGTTGAAGCGACTGCTTGATTTACTCTGCGGATTGGTGAATTTTCTTTTTATCTTGTTTCAAGCATGATGGGTGATGTACGACTTGCATGCATTTACAACTGCGGTTCAACCGGGGCGTACGGGAAGGGATTTCGTCGGCGATCGAAGGATTTTTTTTATCTTGTCTTTCTTATTCCATGGGTTATGACACCTTCCGACATGGGTCATTTAGTGTATAGATGTTTCTTTCTTCCCAGTGACAAGTACCATACCATACCATCTTATTTACCAATTTTTGTTGTATCATTTTCGTTGTATGATCGGTGGTGCGTGTACGGCGTAGACAGAAGACATGGCAACACGGAGTTTTCATGCCGAAGATGATCGTGATTTCGTCATGGAAGTACCCACGAGACTCGTTAAACACAAGGAGAGAGGGTTTAATAAAAATCTACTATCCATTGACAGCGTTAGCATTCTATCAATGCACGAACAGAACACAAGCAAGCATGACCACCAATCCCAAATTCCACAATAAAAATCAGACTTTGCCTTTGGACCTCACGCTCTACCAGCATTGGACCTTTTTAATAGAAAGGCAGTGTAGATAGCGGTTGAGCAACCTCGGTTTACCAGAGAATGTAAATTTTCTCGTCATGAGATGGAATCGGGGAGTTGAATGGACATGTGCGAAGAGGATGATGGAATCGTACGCACCATTTTGGGGTTGACGCATGCCCTGCCTGGGTAGTTAGTGCCTAGTCCATCTTCTAAAGGCAGGATTTCATCCTGGAGTCAGCATTTTAGAACCTCGGGGCGAATAAGGAATTTTCATTAATCCCTCAATGGCTCTAATTCGCGTCAACACGAGACGTCGGAATCTACTGGAAAGCCAATGGCGGTGCTACTAGGCCGTGGATGAGATGAGAAGGGGTCGGTTCCAATGCTACATCCGTCATCCATGGCCACACGAATTATCCTAGATCAAAGAAAAGTCGTGACAAGGGAGTGTCCCATCATACAGGTCATCACCGCATCATGGAGCCCCGAGGAGCCCTCGTGATGATGGTTTTAGAAGTGGAATTTTATTCTCGACGCACTCATCGGAATCGCCAGTGCAGTGGAAAGTGTCCGAAGAAACCTGGTTGCAGCCAGCGATGATTTGAGTTGGTGGTCTTGGGTTTTGTGAAAGAAAAGAAAGAAGGAAGAAGAAAGGACGGAGAAGATAAAGGGCTGCAGAAAAAAAACGACGCGATGGAGATGGAAAAACGATGACGCGGGCACAATTCGGGCGGGTCCGGTCGGTGATTGGTCGACAGACGGACAGGTGCAGAGCTCCATTCAGGCCAACTTCAGGCCACATTCAGGCCACCCTCAGGCCAACCTCAGGCCCCGGTTCCCTGCCGTTTGTTCACTTTGTTCACTTTGTACTCCTCCGAACTTGTCTTGCTCGACTTCTCTTGCTTCACAGTAACTTCCTTGATTCTCTTTCCTCCCATCTCCTACATTCAATCGGATTCCTTCCCTAATTCATCTTTCTATTCATCGTCACATCCCTCCTGACCTTATTCAGTGCCTCCAATTTCCCTCCCATCCTCCTTGGCTCGTTCCTCGTCCTTGCAACACCCCCCCACGTCTCTAGTGTTAACGTTCACGATCACGATCACGATTTCCGTCTTGAATCTTTCGATCTTGTCATAGCTTCGATTCTTTCTGTCCTTCCTCTTTTTTTGCCTTATTTCTTTTCTTCCTTCGTTCTTGTTTAATTTGTGTGTGCTATTAATTTTTTGTCACATATTTTTGTGGTTTCCTGTGCCAAATTTTTTTCTATTTCAGTTTTCAGTCTTTTTTCCCGGACATCCCCACACCTGTATATCATACGTTTCGTTTCTTTCGCTGCAGAACATCAACAACTCTCCGCTTTCCCCGTTCCTCACTGATGACCGCTCTTTTTCTGAGCTGTCTCAGTACCGACCTCTATGGATAACGCAAACTTGTGGACTCGCCGATCCAAGTATGTCATTTTCCCCCCATGGCCCATTTTTATATCCATATTTCCGCCTTTGCCTCCCAATTTGCATTACCACGAAGACTAATTGACTTATTTCTCTTGGTAGCACCTCTAAGCTCTCTCTGTCTATGACAGGGACTGACGGAAAAGAGGGTGGCGCTAGAGTTGAGATTCCCCGCACGGCGAAGCGCTTTGGTCCGGATAGCTCCCACGGTCGATCGAATCCCTTCAACGCCCTATCTCCTCTTTCGGCCGGCGTTTCTTCCCCCTCGACCAACGCTTCGTCTGCATTCGGTCTGGGATCCGGGGCTTTCGCGTCCTTCGGCGCCCCCAAGACTCCCGGCGGAGCTTCCGACCTGAAAACCCCGGGCGGCGAAAAGCGCGATTTTACCTCGGAGCCGGAATTCGTGGAAAAGACCAAGAGCTCGGCTGTGCTGTCGTCGAAAGACCACCTGCTCAAGTCGACCTGGGTGATCTGGTACCGCCCTCCCACACCGAAATACTCCGATTACGAAAAATCTACCATCCCCCTCGCGTCGATATCCTCGGTAGAGAGCTTCTGGTCGATATACGCCCACCTGAAAAGGCCCTCGCTCCTTCCCGCCGTCTCCGATTATCACATTTTCAAGAAGGGCATCCGTCCCGTGTGGGAGGATGAAGCCAACAAGAAGGGTGGAAAATGGGTGGTTCGGTTGAAGAAGGGCGTGGCTGATCGGTACTGGGAGGATCTCCTTCTGGCCATGATCGGTGACCAATTCGCAGAGGCTGGCGACGAGGTTTGCGGCGCTGTTCTCAGCGTACGGAGCGGAGAGGATGTCTTGGCTGTCTGGACCCGGATCGATGGTGGGCGAAACATTAAGATCAGGTAAGGCTTTTACTTTGACTCCTCTTTCTGGGAGGGTTTTCGCGAAGGAAATCAAGAATTTGAGACTAATCTGCCGTGCAGGGAAACGATCAAACGTTTGTTAGGCTTCCCCCTTGACACCAACATCCAATGGAAGAGCCACGACGACAGCATCGCTCAACGCTCGGCCATTGACCAGGCTCGCCAGGAGAAGAACTCTGGAAATCCTGGTCACCACCACCACCATCACCACCACCACCACCACCACAACAACAACAACCATAATAACCAGCATCATTCGGGAGGCGACCGACGAAGACATACGGGCAGTGAAGAATCTACGGGAGATAAGGGAAAGGGAGCGGCGTCTTGATTAATCTTGCATTCTCCGCGGCATGTTCATGGTTCCTGTATAGTACAAAAAAACCAAAAATGATTGGGATGATTTGGGGTCGGGGCATTGGGGCGAAATATTGCGTCTGATATTGTTTTTGGTTTTAACATAGGGTCTTTCGTCATTTCGTCATTTCTCATTTTCTGGTTCGATGTTTTATGCGAGATGCCATGCACGTTTCAAGAAGGAAGAAAGAAAAAAAGAAGAGGAAATCAGATTAATGGAAACACGCCGAGGATAGGATATGGCAGATCGGCTGTATTCTACTACCGACCAGTGCACCTAGACCTGAAGTAGAGTAGAGTAGAGTACATATATACTCTGTACATGTACTTCCTGGCGAACACAACGGAAGCGTCCAGCTGATGGGGGCAGAAAACCATCTCCCCACCGCCTTTTCGTCTTTCATCATCCATGCTTGCGTCGCTCTCGTTCATGCGGCATTGGATTCTCGGCTCCCTCTTTCGCTCTCATCCTATGTGTCTGGCAAATGAAGATCCTCCTGTCTCCTCGGGTCGTGCGATGACCGCTTCATATGCCCCTACGTGACAAATTCTCGGAGTTGCTTTCCCGCTGGACTCCTGGTCAAGCCTCCTCTCCTCCGCAGCCTGCAGATTCTCCACCATCAAATGCAAGCTCCGATCAGTCGTCCGGGGGGAATGCCCTTTCGCCGATAGATACTTCGACTGCGCCGTTGAAAGCTTTGCTTCACTTCTCGGAGGTATGTTGGTTTATGCCTCTGGTTTTTTCTTCTTTTTTTTTCACTTCTTCTTTGTTCTCGTTTCTCTTAACCTCATGTTTTTGGACTTATCTATTTGGTAATTTTATTTTTGTCATTCCCCTCTTGCGCCTCTTTATCCTATCTTTGCCCCAACAATGCCCATGTCGCAACCATATTTCCTTTTTCCTCCCTTCTTTCTGCCGTATTCTTAGCAATTTTCTCACTCGCGTCTCATGCACGGGCTAACCTTTGAACCCCAACTCCAGTCCCCTTCTAGCTATGCCGAAGAATTCTACACCACCAATAGACCTCGATCTGTACGTTCACTAATACGCCAGACCATTCCCCGACCCGGATTAGGAATGCGTCGTTTGTAAATACCACCCTACAACTATGCGGAAACCGATCAGGCAATACTGACACTATGCGGATGCAGGCATGGAGACGAGAAGTCAATGGTCACCAAAGAGCGCGATGTCTCTCTCTTGGACGAGCAGAGACTATTCCCTTCCTATAAGCAGTACGTCACCCATACAGTTGTTGAACGGCCCCAGAATCTGGCATATGGCGTGGTGGAGCTCACATGCGATTGTCTACTTTTTAGGAGCAGCCCCGGCGGGGTAACGATAAAGCCGGGCCAAACAACCGTGAAACCCAAGAAACTCCAGGTGAGGATCCTACAACTGTGTTGGGCTTTATTTCTTTATTTTCTTTAGATCTCCTCGTCTAACGTCTATGGTATTTTAGAGCTTTGGGAGTTTGAAACCGGTGAACACTCTTTCGGGCAGAGCCCGAGATAGCGGTCCGGTTCGCGCTCAGGGGAAGCAGACTTATCGTGGGAATAAATCTACGGGCTTCGGGTCGGGAACTTTTCATTCGGATGGGATCACGGATTTCCACAGCCCAGAGAGACCGCTCAAGCGACGACGTCGAGATAGCCTGGGTGCGCCGCTCGGGAGAACGATAAGTATATCCGATGACGATATAATGGAACAAGCGGCGCCGGAAACATCGTCGATCGCTGGAAGTTCGGCACGTCGGTCTTCTGTGTCCAGCCAACCCACCGGGAAAGGGAAGAGAGCGAGAAAGGGAACTGAAGTCGACGAGTTTCGTGAAGTGGAACGCAATATGAGAATTCCTCGGGAGTCGCCTAGCAAGAAACACCAGCGCTTGTGGGTGGACGATGACCGGGAGGAACAATTCACGGAAAATGCTGCCAAGGAAAGACGTTTGTCGACGTCAAAGCCGACGGTCGAGCCTGGACTTGGAAAATCGCGGAATCCTAGGCATGAGGTTCTACAGAGTGTTGAGATCCACGGCCTGAATGGCACTTCAGAAAATTCACCCTCGAAAGACCATTCCGCGGAGCCCAGACCATCTCGCGCATTGGACCTCCAAGAAAGTTCCGATGAGCTGCAGGGCGAAGCAACGGTTCGACCGGCTCCGTCAAATCTAAATCGGGGCGCTGTGCAACTCACGAATGACGATTCGGAGGTAGAAGAGCCACCAACCTCAAGTGGTCGACAGCAATTATCCCCACACGATATCCGACCGACCAGCTTCATAAGTGCATCACCTTCCAATAAGAAGAAGCCCACCAAAAAGTCCAAACACAAGAAGAACCCTAGCGCCTACCAAACCTTTAGGATAACCTACCTCCGCGTAGGAGGTTTGGAGCAGCACGTTCCCCAGGGTGAAACCAAGGACTTGGTCTTTGACCTGGCAAATGACGTAATTTCCTATCCTGGACGTGCGAACACTCAGGTCCCGGTCGCCTTGGATCGTGTCATCAAGATTGAGCAAGGTGAAAATGCGAGTCGGAAGATGCGATTTGGCTTGACGCGAACGAAAGGGACCGGCGATCAAATGGATATAGAGCTATTGATGCCCGAGGCGAAACGGGAATTGTGCGCTTTATTCAACAAGCATGGAGTCAAAATTGTATCAAGGGATGAGTATGTCACTTCTACTGAATCTTTTTGTGGCGAAGCTGACCGAATACAGCGAGTATATGGAGAAAGTGTTTACCCGCAAAAACAGGAGGCTATTATATCAACCTCCTGAGGAGACCAGTCCCATTTCGGAGAGTGTCACAAGAAAGACATCACCAGAGCCAGTGATGAAGCCTACAGTCCCCAAGAGAATGAAGCTGTCGGATAGGCTGCAAGATGAGCATGGGAATGTTGCCGGACAAAAACATACAGAGACCGCCTCTTCGCCTCCCGAGAATGCCATCCGACAGGAGGTGGAATGTACCTCCAACACCCAACCCGCCGAAGTTACTAAACCCTCGATCCATGATAGCTCATTATTTTCGCCTTCTACTCGAGCAACACGCTCCATGTTGCGCCGCGCGCCACCGCCTACTGTTGTTTGGTAAGCCTTTCTCTTGTTGCTCTCTTTGTAGGCGCGTTTCGCTAATTTACTCGTAGCGACGATGAGGACGAGGCAGACACCCCTCAGCCGAAATCGAAGGGGAAACAGAAGCGGTGGAATAAGTATGTTTATCTATAAACCCGCACAACGCTTATATACTGACGGTACCTACCATTAGATCCCTGATCTACCCTCGCTTCGGGAAGAAGAAAGCCGAAGTGGACGCTCAGGACGTGGAGCGACTCAGTGACAACGAATTCTTGAATGACAACCTCATCGGATTCTACATACGGTTCTTGCAGGATCACCTTGAGCGTTGCAACAAAGAGGCAGCGAAGAAGGTCTACTTCTTCAATTCATACTTCTTCGCAACCCTAACGAGCTCGCCCAAGGGCAGGAGAGCCATCAACTATGAAGGTGTTCAGAAATGGACCAGGAATGTGAACATCTTCAGCCATGACTATATCGTGGTCCCTATCAATGAAAATGCCCACTGGTACGTGGCCATCATATGTAACCTACCGTACCTGCCCGGTGTTTCCAAGGACACCGCACAAGACCAACCCCCCGAGGATGATGTGCCTTCTTCTCAGCCAGATCGCAAAGTTCAGGAGATTCAGGAAACGCCGGAGCCTGGCGAGGTCAATAGTGCACAGTCTGGTAAAGAGGAGGTGACACGACAGTCGCTAGCCTCAATGAATCTGTCGGACGAGGAGGGTTCCCGAGGGCTAAGTTCGCAGGTGCCTACAGAATCGGGCTCAATAGAGGGCAACTCTGAAAACCAGACACAAGCCCAGGCATCCAAAGGAGATTCAAAGGGCTCCGGATCGAGATCGACAGACACCCCGCGAAAGTCACGAAAGCAGAAGAAGCCCGCAGGACCCAAACATGATTTTCGCCAACCCATCATCATTACCTTTGATTCGTTAAACCTCGCTCGTTCGCCTACAATCAGCATCCTTCGCGATTATCTTCAGGCGGAAGCCAAGTCGAAACGGGACGTTGATATAGACAAGACCATGATCAAGGGTATGAGAGCTCAGGAGATCCCCTTGCAATCTAACTACTCCGACTGCGGGTTGTATCTTCTAGCGTACCTAGAAAAGTTCGTGCAAGACCCCGATTGGTTCATTTGGAAGTTGCTGCGAAGGGAAATGTCCACCGAAGAGGATTGGCCCGAAGTCAGATCAGGCCAGCTCCGATCTCGCCTACGGAAATTCCTGGACCGGCTTTATGATGAACAGGCACAGCTTACCCCCGAGAATGCCAGCGAGCAAGAAGTCATGGCGGATATGAAGCCCATCTCATATCTCCTCACGTCTCCCGCGATCCGGTGGTACTCGACCCCTATCAAACACTCAAGTGAACGATTACCAGAAGAAAGCAAGGGCGCGCCGAACGATGACCCGGCGTCCGAGAAGATCTCCGGTGGTGGTAAAGAGGAATCCGGGCCCAGCACTCCGAAATTACCCACCAACGTTGAAGATCTACCAAGTGCAGCTCCAGAGCCTAGTGCTCTCGACAAGCCCAAACAATCTGAGAAAGTGGACGAAATCATCGAGGTCCCTGATAGCCAAGAACCTATCCAAATAATCCCTGCTTCGCCGTTGCGAAAGACGACTCATCAGAAAGAAAAGGAAAAGCAGGCGCAATCCGACGAGCCAGAGGTTGTGGATGTGAACCCGAAGCAACAGGGTGTCGCTCGGAATAAAGATGGCAGCGCGAAGGCCTCGGAGCCTGAGTCCTCCGTCAAACAACACCCATTTGAGGTGGAGATCCAGGTGAAGAGAACGCCTCCGCCACCGACCAGCGGCGAGTCCGGCACAAAAAAGAGCCCACGAGCTAGCAAACGCAAGCACAAGCCGAAGGCGACATAAGTCTGCCTTTTGCCAGGCATTTACACGACGCATATGACATTCTTTCTATTATTCTGTTTCCACTAAACTTTCTTCGTTTCGCTTCTGCTTTGTTCTTTCTTTTGTTCTTTCTTTGTGCCAAGGACCATGGTAGATAAACATGACCTTGAGCAGGCGTTTTTCTTCTAAGGACGGGATACAGGGTCCTTCTTCCGATTTGATTTGTTTGTTTGTACTGAGTACATGAGATACCAAGCATAGCATGTGGTTTTATTTCGTGAGTTTGTCTGCTAGGGTGGTCTATGGTATCATTTATCAATACCACCACCGCTGCACGTTTTTCTTTTCGTTTCTTCTTTCATTTTTCTGCCATCTATATCGGGTGAAGGATACAATGTACATGTAAATACTGGGATTTAGACCGAGACAGCCAATGGCTATGAGTTACACTTTCGGGATCTAGTCCTTCTCTATGAGATGTAAGAAGATGAAAGAGTATATCGCCAGATTGACAAAGGCGAAATACCCAGCCCCATACCAATTCTATCTAAACAGCCTCTATGCAATCCAGGAACCCTATCATACCCTAATCATGCCATCCCATCCATCTGCACCTCCACTTCCATCTAAAAGAAAAAGAAAAAGAGAAAAGAAAAGAAAAGAAAAAAAGAAAAAAAGAAAGAAAAAAAAAACCCCTCCCAATAAATCCATGAAAGCTACCACTCACTCTCATCCGCCCCCACCCACCACGCCATCTTATCCCTCTTAAACGCCTCAAAATCCCACTCCGCCTCCTCCAGTTTCCCCTCCCCTCCAATCCACACATAAGTAGCCGCTCGCACCTCCTCGCCCTCGTCCGCAAACTCCGCCCCCGCTGCATCCAGCACGTCCCGCAGGTGTTGGCCGCCGTCGCCGTCGCCGTCGTCGTGTCCGTCATGCCCACCGTCCACGCTCAATGCCTCTCGCAGGATTCGCACGTTTACCGTCTCTTTCACGTAGTCTGATCCTTCGAAGATGTTGAGTCGGTGGACGTCGCCGTCTGTGAGGCCGGAGACGACGGTGCCGAGGACGGATCCTGCTTCTGATCCTGTCTGTGTCTGTGTCTGTGTCTGTGTCTGTGTCTGTGTCTGTGTTTGTGTCTGTGTCTCTGTCCCTGCAGTCGTAGAGTCCGCCGTCGAGTCCAATCTTGAATCTGATACCGGTACTCTAACAATACCCGGATAATCGGCCCCGCGGACCCGATGTCGTCGATATCCGTGTAGCACGGCAGGCTTGAATGTCAATAGGTCCTTTTGCCATGGTTCGGGCGTTGGGCTGCCGTGGATTACGCGGTGGAGGATTTGAGGGGCCATTAATGTTCCTATTGTTGGGGTTCCATGGGAGTTAGTATGTCTGTGTATTTGGTGGGAAGTGGTGGTGTGGGTATGTAGGTATGGAGGTCGGTGCTGGGTTTGGCTGGGAGGGGTTTGTGGTGGTGGTGGTGGTAGTGTGAGTGATGGGGTTGAGGATGATGGTGGATTATTGTTAATGGAGGTAGATTGGAGTAAATTGGATCGATTGAATAGGGAGGAATGGCGAGTGTGAATGGGACGAGGACGAGGATGACATTGCGCGGGGTTGGGGTAGGTGGGGTGAATGAGGGGATTGGATGCTTGGGAGGATAGACGGAATTGATGGGCAGATAAGACATACCGTAGAAGAATAAAACGTGGTCTCCCATTTTGATCGTCAATTGTCTAGAGTATGTAACGATTGTAGAAGGGAAGTGATGTATGTATGATTCATGTATGTACAGAAGTAGATGGAGGAGGATCGGATAAGCGGAGAGGAGCGGGGAAGGAAGAAGGACAGATTGTAGAAGTTTGAGAGACCACGGCGGGGGTGTCTAGGAGTACGTCATGGGTCGGAATGATCAATCAATGCTAAGGCCATGTCCGGTCTGGAGGGTTGAACGAGACCTACCAGCCAAGATGGAGAGAATCCTAATAATATTCCAGAAGAATAGCGAAGAGTGAACTGAAGATCAGCAGATCGGCGCTTATCGATAAGCTGCGCCACAATGCGAGGCGTCGACGTGGCTTCACTTTCTGTCCTCTTCGCATTTCCACGGAGTGGTCTGAACGGTGACCGGTCGCCTCTCTTTCCTCCTATTTCTATCGCTCAAGTCTAGACCCGACCCAGGGCCCGGACAGTTGACCATGCACTCCTCCTTGAACCGCGCGCAGGCCGTCTTCGGCTTCTTCACCTCGGTCGCGTTGTTCGTCGCCGGTGTCGCCGCCCTCTCCGTGCTGCTGTATCCGGCCGACGACGCGAAAGCGCAGGTCGCTCTGAAGGATGCGAAAGTGTAAGTCGGCTCTGGTCTGCCTGTATACTGTGCTGGCGCAGTCTAGTACAGGTGCAAGTGGACCCCATGACTAACTGTATGCATACAGAATCAAGGGCCGTCCTAATTACTACTCTTCCAAGAAGGAGGAATACGCGCAGATGCGATTCGATCTAGACGCTGGTACGCTCCTACTCCCTACCTTCATTCATCTCTCTCTGTCCCTCCTTTCTCTCGAAATCCCTCAAATCTATACCTAATATACTAACCCCAACCCAAAGACCTCTCCCCCCTCTTCAACTGGAACACAAAACAACTCTTCGTCTACGTCTACGCCTCCTACTCCTCCTCCTCCAACCCCTCGACCACCCACCTCCCGAACACCGAATCCATCATCTGGGACACGATCATCCCCGCCCCAGATTCCCCATACTCGTTCTCCGCGCTCCAAGCCCGTTTCTTCCCCTCCTCGAGCTCGTCCACCTCGCGCACCAGCAACCAGAAGCGCTCCAGCGGCACCACCAAGAACAAATCCTCCGCCAAGACCAAACTCCCCGGCCAGCTACGTCTCCGCGATCAGCGCTCCAAGTACCAGATCGGAGACATCACGGGCCGCATGGCGGAGAGGGGCAACGTGACGCTGAACGTGGGCTGGAATGTGCAGCCTTGGGTGGGCGCGTTGTGGTGGAGTCCTCGATCCGGAGCGGTGCCGAGGACGGTGGGTGATGCTGGGATAAGCAAGGCGTTTGACTTGCCGGCGTTGAAGAAGAAGGCCGCGGCTGGTGCGGCGGGTGGTGCTGCTGGGGCTGGGGCTGGGAAGAAGGCGGCGTCTGTTTAGATGTTGGTTTGTTGTCTGTTTTAGGGTCAATCCATCAATGGAGCTCTTTGATTATCAATTGGAATTCTATCAACTGGATGAAACCGGTGTCGAACGGATGGACTGGCAGGTATTTCACGCCGAAGGAAGCAGAACAAGATACCCTAGCTGTACGGAGCAGACAAATCAAAAGCAAACCACTGCGACAAAACATCTATCAAGGAAAGATTCAAACGTAGAGAAATCAGCCTATAACAATTCCTCAGCACTTCATTAGATAGATCTAAAACAACGAAGAGTCGATCATCGGTCAACCCGCCCTGATTATATACCTCTAGTTACTTACCGAGCACTCAGCAACTCAGCACCTCAGCACCTCGTAGGGTAGGCGTAGTTATGTACATGATCATCTATCAAGATCATTAATAGCTCCCTGAGCGAACAAATAAAGAAAGGAAATACTATAAACTACTGAGATGCATGGACATAGGTAGATACACACCTAGAGTTCATTACCTACCATTGGACCCAGAGTGGCATTAATTTATATGCGGTTTTGAGAAAGGTTAAACACACGTAGTTTGTTGAGATCGATGGGATGCTTGGGATCCCAGACTGAGGAGGTAGATAGGTAGGCGATGGATGAGTTTGCTGAGGACTTGTACAGTTGGAGAGCTTTGAAATGGCTCTATGGAGATCACCTCAGTCCCAAGGGATACCGGCTGATAAGTTCGGAATGTTAGGGCCTGGCACCGCAGACTAGATTTCACTGCATAAATGAGATGTATATCTTGACTCAAGGGATGGATTGGATATATAAGAATGAGATCTTCCATGGTGTTGCAGTAAAAGCCTGGCCAATAGTTCACACCAAGTTCAGACAGCAACTACTACAATACTACAGTACCAAAGCAAGTGAAAATGAATTAGATTAGAATTAAGAATACCCAAGTCGCGCCAGTCTCAAACTACCTGTGAGGAGTTCGGCAGCAAACCAAGCACCAGAAAGCCAAGTCATTAAAAGTAGTCACCCGTAACCAGCCATGTCATCATACAACAACTTCAACACACTGAGACACCGACAGACCCAAAAGCTGTTATAATGCTACCACCAAGCGCTTAAGAATGCTTTGCCCGTTTGATTCGATCGGAATACACGCCCGGTGCGTCGGCATCGGTCACAGGATTGACCGCCCGCCGACGGCTGTAGTAGACGTAGAGCAGATAGAAGGCATGGATATGGCCCGGGAGATAGCTGCCACAACGCATTAGCGACGTTGTACAATATTGGAGCGGTGCAGTCATTTCGCGGCAATGACTGATGTTCTGTGTAACAAACAGCAACAAGGATCGACTCACCCAAGAATTGTCAGCAAGACGTTGATCCAGAAGTCCATACCACAGCCCGCGATGAGGAACACCCCAAGAGGAGGGACTGAGAAATATTTTGTTAGTCTCCATTGTCAAGGATTACGATCGTCTTCGTCAGAGTACACAAGAGTACACAGGCTATACTTACCGAATAAGGTGATAAGAATCATGCAAAGCATCGAAGCGGTTGAAGCCATTTTGAATCAGAAGAGGCACACGCCTAATTCAAATTCAGAAAGAATGTGCAAGCAGGTAAAGTAAATCTCAAGGCTTTTTGCGAGCTTGTTTCAATGTTTGTTTGTTAGGGTCGAACAGCGTACCCAAGGAGCTTAGGATGAGGATCGCGAAAAGAAGGATGAAGATATAGATGGGAACATTGTCGTCCCTGGGAGAGTCGAGGCGCTTCATGCTTATTTATACCAGCGCGGAGGCAAGATCAACGTCACGGAAAGAGCAGATCGTTTCAGGGCGACCGCGACAACGCCAGGCCCGCGTGTCCCTGTAGGGCTGAACCAAGGCAGAAGCTTTTCGTAATTCGTACGGCAAGCCCGTCGCACATGACGTCACTCCGCACCCGGTCCCAGTTGCCTTGCCTGGCGGTGCGTCCAAATCAAGCTTAGCGCATTGCGCCACATTAAAATCCGGGGTAGATGCATGGATGCAGGATGATGATTGGCGATAAAACAAAGATAAAGTGGGACTGTGGCTGAAGCAGGGTCATAATAGAGCAAGAGGATTAGGAAAGCTAGGTAGTCGATTAGATGGTACATAGCGAATAAATGCTACCACCGTATATATCATAGATCATGTAATCAATCATACGGCATCAATCGATGCTCTCGTTGTCACCTGCTCGTTCTTGTTGCCGAGCTTCGAAATCTGCAGGAACGCGTCCACGCCGTACCCCTCAAGACTATGTAATTCGAGGCTGCCGGCCCAGTACTCCGCATACACCCGGCTCATCGGAAGCCCCATCCCCAGTCGAAGATTGGGTGGCCGCGAGGTGAGCGTATCCAGCGAGCCTTCGCGGAACGTTTCCTTGTCTGCCCGCTTCCTTTCCTTGGGTACCGTCAGCTCTTGCATGGTGGCGGCCATGGCCGGCACCTGTCCCAGGTTTTGGAGTCGGTCATTGCTATGGGGACCCTTGTTGAATGACCAGAGGTAAGGGAGAATCTCTCGAGGGATACCCCCACCCTGGTCGGATATTCGCATGATGACATGCTGCGGCGCTTCGCAGATGAGTACGTCAATTGGCGGCGGTCGCTCCGACGATCCGTGGTATTTTTCGCCGACGGCCTGGATGGAGTTTCGCAGCAGTTCACCAATGATGTATTCCAGATGGCTCAGCATGTATGGGAAGGTGGCCTCCAAGTGTCCATGCACGTTGATCTCGGGGATTTTATCCGAACCGGAATCCTGTCGCATGGCATCCTGCGCCAGCTTCCCGCAGCGCTCGATGACTTCCTTCGCGTTGCATTTCAGGAACACCTCCCCGACGAAATCGGCGTTCGCGTCGCTGCGATCCTGCGAGTGAGGGAAATGCCAGGGGGAATTAAAGGTTTCCGTAAGAGCTAGATGTTGCTCTGCGATGACGCGGCGCGAAATCCGCTAGAAATAAATGACAACGGTTAGCAAGAAACGTCTTGACTAATTGGTAACTGGACACACTGGGCCTTACCGCTCGCAGGAGAGTATTCATGAACAAGTCCATCACATCGGGTGGTAACAGATCCCGACACTCCAAGACACCCATGGCAAGTTTGGGAATGACCACGAGGTGTTCCTTTAGGGTCTTTCGAAGTATATCGCAAAATCTTTCGTTGTCTTCCAGGGTCTTTATTTCGGGAATTCGCCGGAATCGCTCAAACGCTTGATAGTAGAGTTCATACACAAGGGAGAGGTGATGGTTTGCCACCACGACGTAGGGTAACTTCTGGATATCTCGGAGCCGGTGGGCTAGTCTAGACGGTAAACACGAGATAGCACGGTTAGTGATTGATCGCTCGAGTCGTCTAGATCCCACGCTAACCTAGTTGGCAGTTCCGTGCGCACGTAATTAGCAGAGCTAATCAGTCGGGGTTCCGTCAGGGTTCGTCCGAAAAAGGTCAGCTGCCGTAGACTGATCGGTCGGATATCGCGTTCCACCCATCTGGAAGAGTTGCATTAGTCGGATATCCATACCATCACCGTGAGATCCTCAGCAACGGAAGGGAATGGGGATGCATACTCATCCAAAGCGGAGACGGGCCGCCATGGTGGTGGACTGTGGGATTGCCGAGCTTGCGATGTTTGCGGTCGCAACCAGGGGGGGTTAGCGGTATAGGAATGTCGGAGGAAGCGCCAACACCGCGCTGGTTGAGGACGCAGCATGGTGCTTCGGAGATGCGTCATGGGAGGTAAGGAATGAATGAAGAAGTCAAGGCAGAGTGCAGACTACCTAAACCCAGGTCGGGAGATGGCTAGTCCATACATGGTCTAACAATGGGCGGAGATCTAGGCGGGTCCCGGTGGGTTTCACTTTCCTAGTGGTGGCATGACATGCTTGTCAGTGAAGGGAGTGGGTTGATAACTTGATCTCTAATGGGATGATGCTGCTTCTGACTCAAACTGGAGTGTCGGGGACCTCCGATTTGTTTGATTGTTTGATTGTTTGATTGTTTGACTGTTTGACTGTCGGATTCCCTTGGGCGGTGAGCCGGGACATGTGACACCCTGTGGCGGTGTCTTTTATGCTTTGTTATGAGGCTGTGAAGTTATGAAGTTATGATATGAAGGTATGAACTTATGGCAAAGGGAACAGTCAGTATAACCTGGCTGAATCTATCCAGAATAGGTGATGAATATTGACACTCCAAAGCAACTCTCTGTCTTCCACTCCCCGTGTGGGCTCTTGTTCTATATCTGTGTACCAACAAAGCCCGGTGTGAAACTCATAATAACCACCATTACCTTGCCGGATAGAAGTTGCAAATAACAGTAAAAAATTCCATATGCCCTGCTAGATAGATAGTATACACCGTATGGACTGCACTGCCAAGATCTTCAGCTGCTCCGGATTAGTTCCACCGCTAAAGGGAGCGATGCCGTCACAGCTCAGTCCCTATGACGGAACCCTTGATCAAGGATTCTGGTGAACACCCAGTTTGCCGGAGTTCTGGGTGAAAGGGAACAAAGGTGCACCGAGGAGAATAAAGACCGAGCAGAATGAATCAATTAGGTTTGCTTCACCTGTGTTTCTCCTGATCCAATCCCCCCTACTCCGTAGCAAGACAGCGACAGCGAAGGGCGTCACTTGTTATTCTTAATAATAGTCGGCCCGCCATATTATTGGGCTCAGCGCAACTCCGCCACTACCTTCACCTTCGGCTTAGCTTCAGACTCTTTTTGACTTCGCTCATCGTTGACCTCGGATTCGGTGTTACTCCCACTTCGCTCCCTGTCGTGGTCACCACTTTCACTCGTTCTTTTTTTAGCGATCGCCTGCTTGCCGACCGCGTAACGTGTGAAGGGGAATTTCTTTCATGAAAATTTTGTTCTCGGCCCGCCAAAGAGAAAGTAGTATCTTGGGATCCGAGTGCGTGAGCGCTCAACTCTTATCCTAGATGGACAACGTCAGTCCTTTCCTCCCTTCACCCTCGCTCCCTTCGAATTTCCAAACACTCCACTCCTCCGTGTGGCCTCGGCAGAGGCCGAACTGCCTCGGCGTGAATGGCGAAACCAACGGGCATTGCTGACATTGCGCTCTCTACTTGTCCAGGTCGCGGAGAATGAGATGCTCGTTGATGAATACGAGCAGTATCATAATGACCGAACGGACGATGTGGTCGTCTCTCGTTCTGGGTCGGACGAACCTGAACAAGAACCTCGTGCCGATGACTGTAAGAACTGACTCCTCTCCTCCCTCCCCGCCCGTGCTGCAGTGATTCTACCCGACCCGCACGAGGGCCCTGGATCGACTTCCTCCGGAGCCCCCGCGGCGGGGTCGGAATCCCATCTCGCCAGTCCTTACGGCTCGATACCTTCTCGCCCGGCTGTCGGAACAATTTCTAACTCATGTTCCATTGGCACAGATGCGGCGATGATGGCACGAGTCCTTCCTAAAGACCCCGATCTCCAGACCGAAGACGAGGCGCATCATACTTGGCACATTCAGGATTGGCGGAAATTGAAGAAGAAGGAACATGGTCCGGTATTCGAATGTGCAGGAGTTCCTTGGTTGGTTCACGACTATCTCTCTCGCCACAATGACGGCTCCCACGGCGTGATTCTGACTATTGGCGGTCCTCTAGGCGAATTCTGTTCTTCCCGTATGGAAACCACGTCGAGCACGCATCGTTCTACCTGGAGCACGCCTGGGAAAAGGATCCTCCCGAGAACTGGTATGCCTGCGTCCAATTTGCCTTGGTTCTGTGGAACGTGAATGATCCATCCATCAAAATGTCTCATGGTATGTCGGATCTCTCCTCCAATCGAAACGGGCCCTCCCTTGCTGATGTAGGATTCAGTCGCCACCCATCGATTCAATGCCGACGAGGGCGATTGGGGTTTCACCAGGTTTTGCGAGTTGCGGAGATTGTTCACTGCTCCCTTCGAAGGTCACGGGGCGCCTTTAGTTCAGAACGAAGAAGCCATGGTCACCGCCTATGTTCGCGTCGTTAAGGATCCCACGGGCGTGCTGTGGCACAGCTTCCAGAAGTATGTTTGCGCAACCATCGTTGGACCCAGAGAATCAGGTGCTAATATAATCCCAGCTACGATTCGAAGAAGGAGACCGGTATGGTCGGACTCAAGAACCAGGGTGCCACTTGCTACCTCAACTCCCTTCTCCAGTCCCTGTACTTTACCAATTCCTTCCGGAAGGTATGTTTTTGAGATGTCCTCTCACCGCGCGCGGAGCCGTGCAGTATATTAAACTTTCTGCAGGCAGTTTACCAGATTCCGACAGAGGCCGAAGCTTCAAGGGACAACAGCGCGTGGACTCTTCAGCGACTTTTCTATAACCTGCAGACGAGCGAAAGTTCTGTTTCCACCACCGAACTGACCGCATCCTTCGGTTGGGAGTCGAGGCAGATTTTTGAGCAACAGGATGTCCAGGAACTCTCGCGAAAGCTCATGGAAAGATTGGAAGAGAGAATGAAAGGCACGCCGGCAGAGAAAGCCCTCCCCGAACTTTTCGTCGGAAAAACGAAAACCTACATCTCCTGCATAAACGTCGACTACGAATCATCCCGCGTGGAAGATTTCTGGGACATTCAGCTGAATGTGCGAGGAAACAAGACCCTTGACGACAGTTTTAAGGATTACATCCAGGTGGAAACTCTCGAGGGCGAGAACAAATACGACGCCGGCCAGCCGTACGGCCTGCAAGATGCGAAGAAGGGTGTCATCTTCGAGAGTTTCCCTCCCGTTCTGCACCTTCACCTGAAGCGATTTGAGTACGACATAAACCGTGATGCCATGATGAAGATTAACGACCGACATGCTTTCCCGATGGAATTTGATGCCACCCCTTACCTCTCCAACGACGCCGACAAGTCGGAGCCGTGGATTTACGAGTTGCACGGTGTTTTGGTGCACAGTGGCGATCTGAACGCCGGCCACTACTATGCATTCTTGAAGCCAACCAAGGACGGACACTGGTACCGCTTCGATGATGACAGAGTTACTCGGGCTACGGACAAGGAAGTTCTTGAGGAGAACTACGGCGGTGAATATGAGCTGACCAACGGCGCCCCTGGCGTTCGGCAACCCTATACCCGCGGTCTGTCTACCAAGCGCTCGATGAATGCGTACATGCTGGTCTATGTCCGGAAAACGAGACTGGATGATGTGCTTTTGCCGATCACAACGGAAGAAATTCCCTCTCACATTGGTAAGTCGTTAAAGATTTCTTAAGTGGACCTGGCCAATGGCTGACCAAACACCTTTCAGAATCACGATTGATCGAGGAGCGCGCAGACATGGCACGCAAGAGGAAGGAAAGAGAAGAAGCTCACCTGTATATCAACGTCGGAGTCTTGGCAGAGGATTGCTTCCAGGCTCACCACGGCTTCGATTTGACCAGTAATGATTTGCCCACTGACGACCCAGCGCTGTCAGCAAATTACCGCATTCTTCGATCTAAGAAGGTCGGCGAGTTTGCTGCGGAGCTCGCAACCGAGAGAGGTCTCGATGCTAGCCGAATTCGATTCTGGGTCATGGTCAACCGCCAAAATAAGACTACTCGTCCGGATCAAGTCATCAAGGACCCTGAAATGTCCGTCGAAGAGGCCTATAGTCGGTTCGGTACGAAGGGCAACGCCTTTAAACTCTGGATGGAGGTCGGCCAGCCTTCTTCGGATGGGACCATGTCGTGGCCAGACAGCAACAACACGGTGCTCATTTTCCTAAAGCACTTCGATGTTCAGGCGCAGACATTGACTGGTCTCTGCTCCGTCTATGTGCGCAGGTCGCAGAAGGTGGCGGAATTAGCGCCTATCATCCTGGAAAAAATGAACTGGCCCGCCGGCACAGAATTCATGCTGTTCGAGGAGATTAAACATAACATGATCGACGTGATGAAGCCCAAACAGACATTCCAGCAGTCCGAGATTCAAGATGGTGATATTATAACCTTCCAAAGATCCCTGAAAGAGTCCGAACTACCCTCGTCGGCCTTATACACCGACGCAAGGCAATACTATGACTATCTTCTCAACCGGATCAGCATCACCTTCGCGCCTATCAAGGCAGCAGATGGCGATGAGTTTGTACTGGGTCTTAGCCGCAAAATGACTTATGACCAGTTCGCCAAGAAGGTCGGCGAGCATCTGGGCGTGGAATCTACTCACCTGCGCTTTGCCCCCGTCCTTGCCAGCTCTGGCAAACCCAAGTCATTCATCAAGCGGAACTCGAACCAAGCCAATCAAACCTTGTACCAGATCCTCAGCGGGCAAGTCACCGGCTACGGATACACAATGCATCGCCAGGATGCCCTGTATTATGAAGTTTTGGAGACTAGCTTGAGCGACTTTGAGTCTAAGGCTAGTCTGAAAGTTACGTGGCTTCCGGAAGGTATCACAAAAGAGGTTTGTTTGATGCCAGATTCTAATCGTTTGTTTCAATGCCTCTAGAGTGCTGACTTTTAAAACAGCAAGTATATGAGGTTTTGGTACCTCGAGACGGGACCATGTCAGATCTCCTGGCCGGATTACAGAGGAAGGCCGGATTCGACGACGAAATCATACGTGATGCCCGTGTCTACGAGACGCACGGCGGTAAGATTTACCGAGAGTTCCAAGGCGATTCGAAGATTGCCGGCATCAACGAATATGTTGCTCTCTACGCCGAACGGACACCAGAAGACGAACTCAATCTAGAGGAGGGTGACCGGACAATCAATGCGTTCAACTTCGATCGCGAGCCGAGCCGGCCTCACGGCGTTCCTTTCAAATTCGTGGTCAAACCAGTAAGCATATCCCGGCTTCTTTATGAGAGGTGGCTTTATCTAACATCTCATAGGGTGAAATTTTCAAGGAAACGAAGGAACGACTTTCCAAGCGAACCGGCATCAAGGGCAAGCAGTTCGAGAAGGTCAAGTTTGCCGTCGTACCTCGATCGTTGTACACCAACCCACGATATCTTGAAGATGGTAAGTGTGGCTATGTTATGGAAGCTATCCGCACAGTTGAACTAGACTAATGTGACACCCTCACAGATGACATACTCTCTGACATCGTCGGTGATTCCGACGATCTTCTTGGTCTCGACCATGTAAATAAGAATCGGAGCTTTTGGAACCGAAGCGAATCATTTTTCATCCGATAGAGGCAGGGTATTATGATTACTTTTCTTTGATTTTCTTTCTCTATCTTTGCGGTGCCTATTCTCGTGCTTTTGTGTCACCAGGGAAGTCCTCTTGACATTGTGCAGGTGATGGATCAAGGATATAGTGCGATGACTTGCACGGGCAATTTTCTTGCCTATGAAGAACATTATAAACCCGGGCGATTTGCTGTTCAATCTGTGTACTCTTGTTTGTGTATGAGATTTCTTTTCTTCCCGAAGGTAAAAATGACATCACTGTCCAACTACTATTGAAAGGGTATCTTTCTGTCTCGAACAACCAAATTATTCCACTTGAGTCACGTGAAAACTGGCCAGCAAAACATATCTCGCTGCACCAAAAAGGGTCAACCCTTTTTCCAGCGTAGGATTGTTCAAGTATATGTGGTGGATCCCTCCCGGTGACAACATATAACCAACGTCAGCCGTGCTCTTTTCAGTTGTGGCCCTTCAGAACTTGTACTATCAGCTAGTTATATTGAGCAACCTTTACTAATACGATGAGTTTGTTGAAGACATCCTTGTCCCAATTACGATCCCGAATCTCAAAATTCTTAGGGAAACCCCATCAACGACTGTCGCCAGAGCGTGTTAATTCTTACCCAGTCGCAGAAGAGCCGGACTATTACCAAACTGGTGGTTTCCACCCAATTCGTTTGGGTGAGACTTTCCAGCATGGCCAATACACTATCCTGAGGAAACTGGGATATGGATAGTATTCCACAGTCTGGCTAGCTAGGGATTATAAGTGTGTTGTCTGTCGCTGTCGCATACTATGCTAACGGACCGAATAGGCACGAGAGGTACGTAGCACTTAAGGTGCTGAGGGCTGATTGTTATGGTGGCTGCCATGACATCTTCGAGAGAGAAATTCTCTCGAAAATCTCCGAAGTGTCAAGGCGAAGTTCTCATCAGGGCCGCAACTACGTGTCCCATCTCCTTGAGCAATTCACGCACACAGGACCCAATGGAGACCACATTTGCTTAACATTCGACGTACTAGGGCATCACCTAGACTTCCAAACCGCCAGATATGAAGATGGGAAATTACCTGTGAAGGCTGTGAAAGCAATCACACGGCAGCTTCTTCTTGGGCTTGACTTCCTCCATAGCGAGTGTGGAATTGTTCATACCGGTATGGCAAATGCTTGTATTGGCCGTTTGTTGTACTACTGACACTGGCCATTTTGTTTATAGATTTGAAACCAACGAATATACTTCTAGAGCTGGAAAATTCGAACAGCACCATCTCCCACTATCTGTCGAAAGTGCCCGCGCGGACCAACTCCCAACGAGATGCCGCACCTCTTCGAGAGGTTATTCCTACGTCGCTTGTCTCGGACACAAGGAATCTCCATGTCAGGTTAATTGATTTCGGTGTCGGTAGGTAGGGTAATTTTAATCTCCTTCACACATAACTTACCGTGATAATAGCATCTTGGAGAAAACGTCATTTGTCAGATTTAATCCAGTCGCCAGCTCTGAGGGCCCCTGAAGTGACAATAGGTGCTCCCTGGGATATTGGTGTGGATATATGGAGTCTCGGGTGTCTTGTAAGAACATCTTACTCGATGAATTTTTGTAGAACGGCGCGATACATTCTAACCTATACACTAAACAGGTTATGGAGTTTGTTCAAGGAATAGTCCTTTTCTCCGGGGAAGCATCATCGAATGGCACCTGGACGGCCGAAGACGACCATCTAGCAAGGATTATTGAGGTTCTCGGTCAAATTCCACTTAATTTTATAGAAAAAGGGAATCGTGGGGCACATTTTTTTGACAAGCAAGGTAAGCGTACTGGCATTTGTTAATATCTTGTCATGATTTTAACCAGGTTTACTCCAGGGAATCTTCTCCGAATCCCTAACTTGAAGCCTACCTGTCTTGAACGCCTGGTTGACGGCCAAACAAAGCCTTTCCTAAGACCAATCGATATGCCCAAGGCTGAAGTCCCAATCTTTGTTGATTTCATCAAGGGCATGCTCGAAATCGATTCGGGGTCTCGAAAGTCTGCGGCGGAGCTATTACAACACGAATGGATACGTCTGTAGCAAGATAAGTTGACTCTAGCACATTGTTCTTATCAACGCAAAGTCACACAATGCCACTGCAGGCTAGACTATTCCAGTAATGCTGTTCATAGGTGACAGAAGAGTAAAACTGTAGTTCCTTATCCGCGCACTAGTATTCTGCATTATTACCTAAGCACATTAATACGGTGCATTATGGCCTAAAATTGGCCTAGAATGGCAGTTTATTTGCCCGGCCCGCTGGTGGATGCAAACGTGGCAAACAGCACCGGAACACACAGCTGTCCAGAACTTCAACTTTCGAGGCGCGTTTCAACCCAGCCGCCTCCCCTGGAGAGTTCCCCGATAGACCAGCTGTCTCTCCATTATCGATCATCATGCGTTTCGCCGCTCTGGTCATCGGAATCCTGGCCGCGTTGGTGTCGACTGTGACTGCCACCGCGCTCACCTACCGTCTCGAGGCAAACGAGAAGGCCTGCTTCTACAACTACGTTGCCGAGCGGAACACCAAGGTGGCCTTTTATTTCGCCGTGAGTGCCGACACAATGATGGAGACCTTTTCGTGCTACGGAATCGATTGCAATTAGAACTAACTTTTCCCCCGAAGGTCCAATCTGGCGGTTCTTTCGATGTCGATTACTCCGTTGTCGGCCCCGGCGATAAGGTGGTCTTGGATGGAACGAAGGAACGACAGGGCGACTTCGTCTTCACGGCTCTGAGTGTAGGAGAATATCGCTTCTGCTTCAACAATGAGATGTCGACGTTTGCGGAGAAGATGGTCGATTTCGAGATCGCGGTATGTTTGAAAACCCAAAACCGGTTTATTGCCAGGACTTGCGGTTAATCTTTTTTTCTTCCCTACTGGCTAGATCGAGAACGAAGAACGCGCACAGCTCCCCTCTCGACAAGGCGCCACCCCCGAACAGGCGTCTGCCCTGGAAGAGTCCATCTTCAAGCTGTCCGCCCAGCTGTCGACCATTTCCCGCAACCAGAAATACTTCCGTACCCGTGAGAACCGCAACTTCAGCACCGTTCGTAGTACCGAACGCCGGATCTTCAACTTCAGCGTAATTGAGGGCTTGATGATGGTATCGATGGCTGCCTTGCAGGTCTTCGTTGTGCGCTTCTTCTTCCAGGGCGCAAGGAAAGGTACGTACTGACGTAGATTCATTTACGGGCATTCGCCTCCCCGTCTTACCCCGTTTCTCCCCCAACAAAAATTACGACAGGTTCTGACCGATACGCAGGTTACGTGTGATGAGTGAGCATGAATTTTGATCTATCTATCTTCCCCCTTTGAATTGTGGCGTCTATTGTATCTACATCCCTTTTTAAGTTTTAGAATGTTTCATCTTATTGAAGCAGGTGAATTGAGACGACTTGGACTGGGTACTTGAATACATTATCCATCCCAATTGATTCTCTGAATGGCTGGTCCCCGAGTGAACACAACGTGATATGTGCCTTGATGTTCACGATTTCTTACGTCATCATGATAGATCCCGGATCAATCAACCTGATGGACGAGCAAACTAGTGCTCGAGCGGAACCTCCTAAAGACCAAAGTGGCAGGATCAGGTGTCTTCTAGACTCACTCACGACCGTTGAACAGACTATGCTGGCAGAGAACAGGTAATGGATACATCCTCATGATGAAAGGTTTTGCATAGTTCGCCGCATCAACGTCACTTCATAAGAGATGGTAGTTCTAGAAGCCGCAGGGTCCTATATATCCTGCGGGTGGCGATCAATACTATCAGAACATCTTGGGGTCGATGATGAAAAATTGGTCGAATGTGGCCAAAAGAGACCAGACAGAATCCTGCATTGTTCGACGTTCGATGATGTACCCATTTGCAGGGGACTCGTTACACGTGTATACCGGTTTTTCTCGAGAGCTCGGAATTCTGGCCCATGAGACAGGCATGAGAGAATGACGTGAAGATGCATGCAATATATTGTTCTCTAGGGAATGGTGATGGCAGATGTCTTTGAAAATCTCTCATATCTTCCGCCATGATTTCACTCGCCATCAGCGGGAGAGTGTCAGATCTTGGGGTCTACGGAGCACTTATTGTAGGGTGCGGTGATATCATCCGAGAGGTGTAGCGCTGTTCCACCGTCACATCTGCTGGCCGCGCTTCTCCCCAACTCACTGTCGCAAGTATTGCGGCTCACTATCTTATGTGGAGAATAGCTATCATGCACTGTACTCTGAGTACACATTGCATCGACAGTGCATACGGAGTAACGCGTCCCCGAGTTATACAATAAGATTGGCACAAAAAATGGGCGGAAGACCGCAGCTGACCAACGGGCAGGTAGGTATGATATAACCGAGCTTTCAAACGGTTCCTTTCTCCACCCCTGACTTGATGCAACATTTGCCCTTGCGAAGATCCACCGAAACCTTTGCTTCGGCGCTGATGGGTGTGATCAGACCACGGGAATCTAGAACCACCAGGATTCGGGCCCCGAGATGGTCCTTTTCGTCTGCCCTTTACAGCGTGGCTTGGGATAGGGTGACACGGGGCTGATCCTATCCTCTCTCGTTCAGTTGTCTCGTGTACAGTGCATGTCCCTTGTCGGCTGCGTGCGAGTCGGAGAGACCTACTGCTAGCGGCAAAGGATGATGCACGCTAAAGATTAGTTATGGGAGGTTTTTTTTTTCATCTGATTTTTTTGTTTTCGTCTCTAGCAAATCTTTGGCCCGTGTCCCTCTTTGGAACAGGCACCAAGAACATTCTCCTCCTTTTTACGTTTACTTTTCTGATCTTTTATTTTATTCTGCTCTTTCCTACCTCGTGTCGCAATCCCCTGCCTCTTTCTTTTTGCGCAAGACCGACCACTCTCGAGACTGTCATTTTTTTTATTATCCCCGCTCGCACAATACCGTGGGCTGATCCACCTTTGCGTGGCGAACATTGAGCGGTGATCAGAAACATGACCATACGGTTGATTGGCTCTGGACACGGGTGTGGAGGATTCGAGCAACGGCGACCAAACATTGAGGACCTCGTAGCGGCGGCGTGATTTCCCAGGGTCGTTTGTTAGCGGCCGAAAAGTTCGAAAAGGCTGATTAGATGAAGCCCTAGGCTGGGAGAGGACAAGGTCGGTACTTACGGAGTAAGGTAGGTAAGGGAGACGAGGAGAACGTTCGGAACAGTGTTCCGTCCCTCCTTGGGCTGTGGAGCGTCCGGGTGGATGATGGGTCTGGGTGTATACTGCGTCCGCAATAGACTGTTAGAACCGAAAGATCTGATGATAGGAGATTAAGATAGTCAGCAGATATGTTTCTCCGTTGAAATGACATTGTTGTTTGGGGGAGAACAGAAGGGAGCAAGCGTATACTCCGTAGACAGACTGGACCAACGCAAACAGACGCCTTCTGACGTCAGCAGCCAGCCTCAGGCAGAGTCTCTCTCTCTCTCTTTTCATCCACGGTTGAGCTTCGTCCTTCCTTCTGCCCTTCATGCTACCTCGGCCACTCATCGACATGTATCGTTCTCCATCTTCATCATCATCTTGCCATCTGTCTGGCCTTCGTCTGCACTGACGTTAAGGGTCCAGTTTTCTTTTTCTTTTTCTTTTTCTGCTTTGCTTTTCAAAATTTGGTCTCTGTAATCCGATACTAGTAGAGACTGAATTTGGGGGTTTATTTTATTTTAATTGGTCTAATTTGATTTGATGGTTTTTTTTTTTTTTTCTTCGATTATCCTTTGCGTCTTCGAGATGACGGAGTCTGCAGTCCAACGAGATTCCTCCTCATTCCTCATTGAATACCATTCTATGCCGGACTAACGAATTTAGCCTCGCGTTAGACCCGGTTATGACATATCACCCTTCTCAGGGCCCCGCTTTGGCTTCTATGGTTCGTCCATCGCGTCTGGTTGCTGCGCGAAGTAACTGCAGCTCTAATTTCTTCCACGGACTACTACCACATCATACTGGACACCATTCCCAAGGAGGCCCATCCTGGTAGCCCGTAACGCTTCTAGCAACTCGACCGGCCTGACTACTGTTCTCTCCCTCCCAACCTCGTCTACGTCGATCTGCACGGATGGGTTGGAGTTCGAAAGCTCATCGATCGGCAACCGTCGTGACCTCACTCTGTGAGTAGTAGGACCCATGGGCCATCTGGGGAATACCAGCGGCCCAGGAGCTTGTGGGGCCCGTTCATTTCAGATCGTTTGCTGATGTAGCCTGGGTGGCTCCAGTCGGCTCACAGACAAGGGGAGCCTAGGAGCCCAGGAGGGTCCTGGGGCGAGGATTGTTAGGGCCTTATGAATGACCTCTCCCCTCTCGAAAAGTGCAATGATGTCATCTCCCCCTGGGTCCGCATGAGGCATGACGCTACCGATGGGGCATGGACATGCCCATTTGTGTCATGGTGGTCGACGACATTTCCTTCCTGACTCGCTCCTTCCTCCGTGAGGTAATTGGCTAGCCCTTGTGATCTCATATCAGACCCGACCAGCTGTTCTCCACGGATCTCCTCTTCGCACTGGGGCCTCCATCCACTGCCAGCACGAAGCCTATATGAACCCCTGGTCTCGTCGTCCACATAAGCAATCTCATCGAACCAAAAATTTTCTAGTACTCTACCAAATCGTCTAAATCTGACCCTAGTTTCGAATACCCACGTCCCTTTTCAACCATTCTTCAAAACAAAATTCCATTTCTCTGTCTCTAGTTCGGTTGACTTATTTTCGTTTTGACTTTGTCCCCTGTCTATTACCCCTTTGAAATTCTATAACTCTGTGGAAAGGTGAGCTTACAGAAATCTTGCCCCTTCTTATTGAAAGGGATCTCCTTCCCTGCCCTTGAGCCGCGATTGAAAGTCCGCACCCTTCGCCGAAAGTAACAAGCTTCGTCCTCCCCGACTGGAACTCGAATACTACGCCTTTGAAGCCTTCCAATCCTTTTAATTAGACCGCACAACTATCATGACGAGACATCATGTGGTCATCAACTCTTGACGATGGACCATCTTCAGTGATGTGGAATGATTTGCCGCTGACAACAGTATTCTTTCAGGAGCTTCAATCATGTCTGAATTCATGGAGCAACAGAACCAAGCCTCTCAGGGGATGTTCCCTACGGACGGTGGGGGCTACCATCCTGCTGGCGAGTTGCATGTCAACACTGCCCGGGCTTTGGACCCTCACACCTCCATCGAAGATTACAGCCGGGTGATGCTACAGTACACCCAGAACCGGATGTCTGGGTTCGCTCGTCTGGACGATGACAAAAGGTTGCCCGCCAGTCGAAGCAGCAGAAGCAGCGACACTGGAAATGAAAGCGGTGATTCTGCTAGCGGCATGTTGGCTCGTCAGGCTAATGGCCGCGGTTCTACCGCTCGCTCTAGCAGCGCCTCCCTCAGCAACAGCCCCTACGGCAACGGAGAGATATCCAAGCCTATCAAGGACAACTCCAAGCCGTCGTTCTAAGGGAGGACGCCGCCCTAGCCTGAGTTCGTCTTGGACTTTGGAGGACTGCCTTTCTTTATCCTCCTTTCCAGAACCAACTCATAGGCAGGCGGTCCTCAGGTCGTTGACAATAACCTTCGACGCAAATTTTTTCATAGCAAGGTGTTGGCGACGATCATAGGAGACATGACGCTTTGGTTGTCTCCCGGCGTTTGATTTAAAGAGAAAGCGGTTTGATTACATTTACAAGCATTGGTGGAGCGACATCTCCCAGACGATCTGCGAGTTCGATTCTTTCTCAAGAGTCCTGGTGAAACTCCCGATCAACTGGAGATATTCGACATTGCCCTCCACATTTTTTTTTTTTTTGACAATTCTCCTCCCCTTTTAGCATTGATGATACCATTGGGAACGGATCTTATAGATTCTAGATATGACAAGCGCGCTTTTGGTCTACTTCAACTGGTCTCAAGCAAGTCGATGTCTACTCAAGGCTGAAATTTCTTTCGTATCGTCGTTTATACATCGGTGTGTCACTCCTTTTGATCGACGTCGTTTTGTTGCGGTGACTGGCCCTTGCTTTGTGCTCGGGTTGGTTGCCTGCACTTTTTTTTCCCGCATGGCCATTTACGCTCCCTTGGATTTTGGTTGTAGCTGTTATCCTAGGTCGGCAGCCATCAATCTATCCCTGCAACTCCATCCAGTTCCCTTTTTGACTGTGCATGCACAGCTCTCTCGTGTATTAAATATGTGTGCAGGACACTCACGTGTAAAATATGTCCTTTTGTGTGCTTAGCGACAGCGATCATGACTTTTTTGATTTTTATTGCGATTTTGTCCATGGGAATGTGTTTGATCAGCAGCAAGGACCGGGTTCATTTTGCTTTCTTATCCATATGCGATGTACGATTAGTGTGACCGCCTGTTATGAATCCAGGCATTGGATCTTTACATGACCTTGATGACTGAATCAAATCTTTTGGAATTATTCAAATTTTTTATTTACATTTCCCTTTCCTTTTCTTCCTTACATCTGGTTCGGTGGTTTGCTATCCCAGACATAGGGGTGAGACATCCTATCCAAGGGATGAGGTCATGAAATGAGCCACAGAACACACGCCCACGAGTACTGACTCCTCAACTCAGTACACTACAATGCATGGTAACTGCACTATCTTCATGAGATCTCTCCGGTCTCATTGGTTCAATTAACATGGTCCAGTCATGACAACCACATTCCGGTTATCTTGATTCACATTCCACAACGGCCCTGGTCTGTCAGAGAGCGCGTATATTAATGCATCCCTAGTGCCAGCCGCCCAGATTACTGAAGAGAGAGGAAGGAAACAAGGATTGTCAAGGGGACGCAGGACCGAGAGACCCTGCCTTGAGTTTGGTGCCTTTCGTTCTATATCATCCTGATCTTGAGTGTCAACCCATCTTCTATTTCCTTTGCATCTTCCTCTGAGCTTCGCAATTCATATTCTAATCTTCTAATCAGGAACCAATAGCTAGCGAGATCGGATACAGATACAAAATGTATCCCCCAACGCTACTTTCCCTATCTCTTCTCACAACCTCCGCGATCGCAATCCCTTTCGTACCACACGTCCCCTCCGAAACACTACTTACCAATTCGAAATCCGGCTACACAGACAGCGACAGAGTCCTGGGTTCTCTGATCATCGAATCCGCGAAGGAAACAAGTAATCTGAATACCTGTCCGCCTTCGCATCCGTCCAAACAATGCTGTATGTCAATTACAGCGCTGGCGAACGATGTCACGTCTGAGATCGGGGAGGTTGTGCCCTTATTGGGTGATGTTAAGGTGTCGTCGTTGGTTAGCTTGGAGTGTATGTCTTCCTCCCTTTCCTGATTGCTTCATGTCCCTTTCTTGATCTGGACGTCACAAGGACCGCATCATATGTCTGTCGCTTTAATGATCAATTTTATACTAACGGCGTATGAAACAGGTCGACCGATGGATGCCGATGGAGATAATGCTGCTTGCTTGAACGATGTGATGTGTTGTACTGGAACCGGAGGGGTGAGTCCGTCTTTTTTCCGCGAGGCTATACCTATCACTCCCTTTCGATAATGGGTCTCGATAATTGGTCAGAATCACTAACATGATAACTATCTAGACTAAATCATCACTCATGAAAACCTGCAAATCATGGGACGAATCTCTCGAGTCTAAGAAAAAGGCCATGGATAAGAGTATCAATGCGCAGCTGGAACAGATGATGAGCAAGAACGGGACGAATAGCTCTGCGTCTCGTGTCGCTGCGTCGAGTACCCCGAAGCCAAAGCCGGTTCCTGTCGCTGAGAAGGTGGCTAAGGTGCATGGGTCTGTGTCTGCTGGTGTTGCGTCTTCGTCTGCGGCTGCGTCTGCTTCTCCTGTCTCTGCCTCCGCGGCTACGTTGCCATCAGAGTCTGGGTCCGAAGTCACCTCGACATCTTCTGTTTCTGCCCCTACTTCTAGCCTTACCTCTACGTCTGCACCATCGGTATCAACTACCCTTACTACAAGTGTGTCGACATCATCGGACCCACCAACTTTATCTTCGAGCTCTGAGTCCTCGACTATATCCGCGTCTGTATCTGCATCTGCACCGACAGCTATGTCCACGTCGACGACTTTGTCTACAGCTTTATTGCCATCATCGGAAACATCCGAGTCGTCCGAGGCTACGTCTACTTCTACTTCTATGTCTGCTACCACTTCAATTGCACCGACTGAAAAAGTAGCCAAGGAAGGAAAGGTCAAGGTTGCTACTACGACAGCTCCATCTGAGTCAACCACAGTTTTAGCCCCGGCGTCGCTTTCTACAACTGTCTCTGAGAATCAGGAGAAGAAGCAAACGACTAGAGAACTGAGTGCTACTTCTGCCTCATCAACTACAGCTATGGATACGGCTACGGCTACAGCTACAACGGTGCCTGAGAAGCAGGAAGAGAAGCCAGATGGAAAACCAGAGAAGCCCGACGACAAGCCCGAAGAGGAGAAAGCTGAAGACAAGCCAGAGGACAAGCCTGAAGAAAAACATGAAGAGAAGCTGGAGGGAAAGCAGGAGCAGAAGCCGACGGAAGAACAGAAAGAGGAGCAGAAGCAAACGACTGAAGAATCCAGCGCCACTTCTACCTCATCTCCAACTACAGCTACGGCAGCTACGACGACTAAGGTAGCTACAACACCTACAACAGTATCCCGAAGACCAAAGACCAACACTGAAGTGTCTAATACGTCTGCTTCAACCGATACCTCGAATACAGCTCCTGTCACGGGCACGGCCACGACTACAGGCAGTTAATTCCTCGTCGTCCGTGTTTCTTCTTTCTCAGGCGTTCTTGTTCTTTTATTATCCACTTTCTTTTCTCGCTTGATCAAGTTCGTTTCGGTTGATTCGATTGGTTCAGTTTGATTATTGGCCATGAAATGAGTGTATCTATTTATGTATGTTTCTATCTTTGTATGTAAGTGGTGATGGGATGAATCGAATACCTTAGTCACTTTATGAATGAATTCAAATTTGTTGATCTCGGGCAAGATACTTCAGTTGAATGATTATGAGTAGATAGATAGAAAGCAAAATGGCGATGATAGTAGTATCAAATTCTTCATCTCATTTATAGTACATAATACATGCATTCCATCGAGCCATGTTCGAATAAGGTAAGATATAGCAAGTAAATTGATCTACCTCCATCGTCCCGGAGGCGGAGGGTATCCATAATGCCCCTGACCCTGCCCTTGTCCCTGCCCTTGTCCCTGCCCCTGGCCCTGTCCGCCCGAATGAGGAGGAGGAAAGTGATACGAGCCCGGGGGCATTTGCTGCGCAGGTCCGAACCCTGCACCGCGTTGCATAGACGGATATTGTCCACTCTGCGCCTGGTACGGGGGAGGGAAATGCGATGTGTTCATGCCTGGTCCGGGTCCGTAGTTCGGCATCGGTGGTGGGGGTGGAGGCCATTGGCCTTGGTAGTTCTGTGGAGGCGGAGGAGGGGCTGGAACGCCCTGGGGGAACATCCCGGGTGGTGGCGGGAAGGGAGGCCCACCCTGCGGACCGCCTGCGAAATGCATCGGATGTTGCGGAGGCATGGGCGGAGGAGGATGATGATGGTGATGGGGAGGATATGCGGGTGGAGGAGGTGCGTGGCCGTGACCGTATGGATTGGGCGGAGGTTGGTGAAGAGGGGGCTGAGCTCGTGGAGGAGAGGCCTTCCGTGGGGAATAAGATCTCGACGGCCGTGACCGAGATCGGGACCGGGACCGGGATCGCGAGTCGTAGTTTCGACCTAGGGCTCGGCGAGGTGGAGTTTGGCTTCGCGACCGGGACCGACTCAATCGACTGTCGTCGCTTGCAACACTACTACTGTATCGCCTCCTCTTCCGAGGCGTCAAGCTGCGGCTGCGGCTGCGGGAGCCGGGTCTGGTATTTCTCATCCTCATTTGCTGACAGAATGACCGAGACCACCCGTAGTAGGTTTCGCCGTCAAGGACGTCGCCAGTCTGGTCCTCTCGGATTACCACCTCGCCCAGATCGTCAATGTCCACTATTTCACCGTCCTTCTGCTCGGGCTGGGTAGATTCGTAGATCCGGTCAACATCCTTAAGGAATTTCTTGACTGCCATAACCAGTTTTTCGTCTGCTGGACCAGCCAGAAATTGCAGAGGCTTGATTGTATCCGGGCGGAGAGCAATCGTCGAATTCGGAATGATATGAGGTATGAGATTTCCGGCCGGTAGGTCATAGAACGGGGTCGAAGCATCGCCATGAGTCGCGGGCATCACAAAGGGAACGTCCTTTCCTGAAGGCTTGTTTGTCGAACCCAGATTACTCGTCTCGACGTCAATCGACGTCTTGACAGGTCCCGACGAGGCCGAGTTCTTGACGACCTCCCGCAGTTTGCCGACATAGTCGCTGCCGTAGTACTCGTTCTCCTCCCAGATATCCAGTAGATCGTCCAGTCGTCGATGATGTTTCGGGTTCTTTTCTCGATCGTAGGAAGCCGCGTAGCCCAGCAACTCCACGATGAACGGCTGCAGCGAGCCGCTGACGGTAGAGAAGGCGGCCTTCGATCTCATGTGGTATTTGGTGTGGTGGAACACGTCATTCAGTAGGTACATGATATGCAGGCGTTTACGCTTGGCCGACGTCGCAGGCCGGGCGGCCGACATGGTCGGAGAAGCACCCTCTTCCGCGGTGAACGAGCCGGACAAGGCAGCGAGGTACTTGGCCCAAACTCCCACCCGGTTGGATGAGGAGACGACATGGCGCAGTAGCCATGATTTGCAGGCCTAGTGCATGCCGGGCACGATGATTTAGTATGACACGGGTTTCGACAGTCAAGGACTCGACGGATCATCAAACCTGGATGTTTGCTGAGGAGCAGTGGGATAGCGCTCTGTCGAGTGCGGTGTGGAACGCGGTGATCTCGTCGCGCGGTACCGATGTGGGGTCAGGGCGTAGAAGACCGGCCGATAAGGAGGCCTTTGCAATGGCAAGTTGATGCGACGCCATTGCGAGGGCACCTGGAGAGCAACGGAGAGAGGAGGTGGATTTCCTAGTAGCTTGTCGGAGGCTCGGAGGAGACTGGGGGCGGTTATCACACGTGACCTGTCGACCGGTTGCGGCTGTTGGCGGGTCCAGTCAGGTGACCAAAGGTAATAAAAACTACAGATTTCACATGACTTTTTGGGTGTGGTCAGGTTGAAAATAACAGAAATTATATGGTGCTAAATGTTTGAAAGTTATTGCCCGCACCAAAAGTGCCGAGAAATCTGTAAGAATTTTTCATCGGACGAACAAAGTTACTAGCCCTCTGGATCTCCGGTCATTTCGAGCTAGCACCTTTTTTGCGACTGTGGGTGTCGAAATGAGTGTGGCGGGGCCTCTTTGCTAGGATCCGCTGCGATCGAGTTTTGGGGGTCGTGGCTCAGCGTTGGCGGTCAGACTGCCACATTCTCCCGGTCCCCGTGACTGCCTGAGGTTGCAACATGCCCCGATGTATGCACACAACACCATGGAAGACTTCTTCCTCGAAACCCATTATGACCTCTTCATTATATCCAATCTTCTCCTATAGACTATAGTACTGTTCTCAGTCACCACTACTATGGGGTATCTACATGACCTCAAACTTCCCTATCTTTCGCCTTTACACAGAAAGCTGGTTCAACTTGGAAATCATTCAGAAAAATTAGAGTCGGAGTGCAACGTTGGTCTAGTATTTAATACAACAGGCTATATACATGAAAGACATTCAGATAGCGAAGTAACAGCGTTAAAGACAGTAAGAAGCAGACAAAATCAACAAAACGAGAGGAATTAGTTGGAAGATACGTAATGATACAGATGCACATCCGAACTCATTAGTAGAACGGGACTCGATGCTTCCAATTAAGTTAAGTAGTCGTCAATGGGTCCAACCGCTCGACCTCTAGAAGTGGGCACCGTGGCGACGGTGACGGCGCTGGTGGTCACGCAGGTAGAGGAGGGGAGCAGCAGCCGAGCTCGAGGGGCTGGGAGTGGCCACCGGGGTCGTGTTCACAACGGAGGTGGTGGTGGGGGGAACAGCAGTCGAGGACGGCGGGACGGCAGCCGAAGAGGTCACGGCGGAAGACGAGGCGACCTGGGTGGAAGTCGAGATGACCTGGGTGGAAGAAGTAGCAGCGGCGGTGGTGGTGGTCGGGGCAGCGCTGGTAGTAGTCTCATCGGCAGCCTTAGGACCGAAGGGGAAGCACTTCTCATCGATGTCGGCGTTGTACTCAGCGATGGTCGCCTCGGCAATGGGGTTCTGCTTGTCGTCGGCCTTCGCCAGAGTGGCTTCCAGGCTGACACCGGCAGAGGGGGCGAAGGTCACACCAAAGATGTGCTTGTCATCGTCGTCAGAGCAGACACCGTCGCTCGATTCAGCCAGAGTGAGGGTAGCGGAGACGGAAGGCTTCAGGTCGATGCCGGCTTCCCATCCCTTGCCGAGAACCTCGACGGCGATCTGAGCAGAAGCCTTGGCGTAGACCTCAGCAGTAGCTTCGATCTGAGCATCGACCTTCAAGGGAAGGGGAGAGACGGTAGGAGTCCATCCGTCAGAAGTCACGTCGGCGCCGCTGATATCAATGTCCAGGGTGGCGGAATCGTCAATGTCAAGGGACACACCGGCGGAGATGGTGGCCTCACCGGCAACTTCACCGATGCTGTAGCCAACGCTGAAAACGATCTGGGGTCCGATCTCGAGGATGCCCTTGATGGAGATACCGCCGATGGGGATGGTTGCCACGTCGAACTCGTCGCCGATCTCCTTGGTGAAGTTACCGCCGATTCCAATGGAGGGTCGGATGTCAAGACCCACGCCGCTAGGCTTAAGGTTCACGGAAGCAGACTTGGGGATCATCCACTTGGTCTCGATGTGGAAGCCGAAGTCAAAGGAGCCGCGGGATTTGCACTCATCACAGCCCAGGGTGATATGCATGTCAGTGTCGGGGATAGGGATCTCCTTGCTGAAGTCGATGTCATGGTTGAAGTCGATGGAGAAGTCCTTGTCGTAGTCACGCTTCTCGTTGCCGTTGCCGGTGGCGCCAGTGTTCCAGTTACCGACGGTGAGTTCGTAGTTCTTGAGGACGGTCTCCCAGGTAGAGGCCTTTCCGGTCAACTTGGCAGTCTGGGTGTTCTTGTCGAAGAAGATCTTGGAAACCTCGAAGGGCATACGGTTCTTGTTCCATCCGCAGTGTTCACGACCGGCAATGACGATCAGGGTACGGTCGTCTTCCTCGTTGATCCAGTTCCATGCCTCCTGAGAGTGGGCAAAAGATTGGGGGTCGGTGTAGTCGACCGACAAGGTGGTCTGAGTGCAGTTCACGGTGTGGAGCTTGTTCCGGAACTTCTCGATGTTGATAATGCTGACCTTCTCATCACCCGCGTCGAGGGTCAATTTCGCCAGAGATGATTTACCATCGGCGCTAGCTATAAGGGCACCGTTGTCAGTCTTTGATGGTGGCAGCAGGAGGAAACGGAAACTTACCACCCCAGTAGAGGGAGTCAGATCCCATACGATCGAAGCCCGCATACGGAAGTTTCTCGGCACGCGCGGCGATATCAGCACTCGGCGCCTCGATTTCCACCAGCTCCAGACCCAGGATAGGCTGGGCAGCAAAAGAGAGTAAAAGGCCGGAAGTCAGCCATGACCGGGAAAAGTTCACCATCTTGAAATGAATGAATGAATGAATGAATGAACGAAAGCCAAGTCTTCAACCAGGAAGATTTAGTGGATCAGTTCTAGAAAAGAGTGGATAGAGGTGAACCTCTGGCGTGCT